AATACCGACACGACGCTTCTCACCTCCGGAAATTCCACGGCCGCTTTCCTCGGAGCCAATCTTCTGGTTGCGAATGTGGTAGATACCGAGCTGACGTTCGACGTCCTCAACCTTTTGCTCCTTTGAAGTACGGCTCATCTCTTTGGGCAGACGCAATAAAGCCGAGTCTAGAATCGTCTCGTGAACAGTCAGGGTAGGCAAAAGGGTATCTTCCTGGTCGACGAAACCGATGACGCTTCTGAACTCGTCATCGCGGACCTTCTCGCCGTTTATGTAGAAGTCGCCACTATCGGTTCCAATCTTCTTCTTGCGAGCCAGGATATCGAGAAACGTAGTCTTTCCAGCACCTGAGGCACCCATAATGGCCAAGAGCTCTCCGGGATGAACAGCACCAGAGATGCCAGAGAGGATCTGCTTTCCTTTAAGATTATAGGCGACGTTTTCGAAGAGAAAGGAAGCTGGCTTGTGGTCGGCCAGCAACTTCGCATCCTCGTCCTCCTCATCGTCCGACAGGTGGATGGGACCGTATCGATGGCTCTCAGCGCGGTGGGTAATGTACCAGATGGCCAGAATAGCCGCGACGATGAATAGTGCGCACCCAGCAATGACACCAGCAATCAACGGTGTGTTGATCTTCTTGATGGGCCTCTCGTAGCCTGGTACTTCAGTCTGGTACAGACACTCGCCGGTGTTACACTGTAGGAAGATGCTTTCGTCGCCGAAGATGCTCGAGATCAGGTCGTTCATGGCAGGTTCCGAGAAGATGCTTCCACTGTCTTTGCTGTTGATAGCTGAGATGCCTCTGAACTCAGCAGGACCCTTGATGGACTCCTTCAAGAAGTCACCAATGTCGACGGAGCCATCCTCTCCACAGAGCATCCTGTCAGGAACACACTCGCACTTGATGTTCTCACATCGGTATTTGGTGATGTTGCGGTCGGATTCGGCGGTGAAATGGGACGAGCACGTGTCGAGAGCGCAGTAGAAGGATTCTCTCTGGTCGACCCAGACTGCAATGATTAGCTGTGGAAGAAGGATGGAGGGTATGGAGCTTACACTGGAAGTTGCATTCCTCCGACTCGGCATTGCAAGAGAAGGTCGCCTGCGGTTTCTTCTCCTTCAACGTGTCGAGGATCTTTCGGTTGGTGATGTCGCAGATCTGGAAGTTCTCCTTGACCAGCTGGCCGTCCTTGTAGCAGACACCGCCCTCTCCATCCGGCATCATGGCGTTGCAGGCATCGTTGGTCTGGCAGACGTTGCAGTTGATGCCAGACCAGCCCTCTGAGCACTCGCACTCCTTTGCGCCTCCGCGTGGTGAGCGGTTCTTGCCATCGGGCAGGGCGCCGCAGAGGGGCTCTGAACAGTCCTCGCCTCCAAATCCGGGTCCACAGTTGCATCTTCCATTCGCCTTACTGCAATCAGCGAACTGCTTGCACTTGAAGTCTTCCAGGTTGCAGTTGAAGCATGGCGGACAGCCATCGGGTCGGTCACCGTAGATGGAGAAGAGATCCTGTGGCGATTCGGCGAGGGTGTAGTTGGCGAACGTCTTGTGGGATGTCGCCGTCGATGCCAGGCCCAGCAAGGCGGCGAGCGACGTCGCCCAGGTCCGTTGGCGCATCGCGTCTTGTTTGCGGCGCAGGGCGAGCTATGCGATAGCTATCGAGATTGTCGTGTGCCTGCTTCTTTCGAGAGTAACGTGATGAGACAGAAAGTGACTGGCAAAGTCAAAGGAACGGCAAGAGCTAGGCAGCTCGTGATAGTGACGAAGCGATGGGTGGCCAGACGAGGGCAGTGCTGTGCTGCTATCATCGGCCTTGGGGCACGGTGATTCGTCGAGGCTGGGCTGTCTCCAGCCAAGCACCATGGCGGACCGCTAGACCGAGGCACACGCCAACAGGTGATGCAGGCAACATGGTCTTCGTCATCATCGCTATCTCGTGCACAGCATGCGAAACAGCAAATCATGGATACACTGCACGCGACTAGCAGCCTCGTCTCCAGCAACGCGCTGATCAGCGTGATCGCGCGACACCAGCAACGACGCGCTCTTGCCAGCCAAACCTAGCCGTCGGAGCGCTCTAGCTACTAGCTCGCCCGCTTCAGCGGAACCTCGAGAGGCCGTCATGTGCGCCCTATGTCAATCTTCAAAGCTACCTTGAGACATCCAAACTATATCCACTAATTTTCTTTTACGCTCTTCTGCCCGTCACGAAACATCTTCTGCATTGCAAGCCAAAAATGGTCAAGATTGAAGAATTCGCCGTCGAATCCGTATGTCTATTCCCCGCATCTCGCACTCCACGTGGGGAAATGACTAACATGCCCAGTGGATGGATGCGTACGAGACGAAATGCAGGTACAACATCGCCGAGACGTGTTGCGCCTCAATTTCCGTCGATCAGCTACGCGAGCTGTCAGAGAACAAAGATCAGCCGGTTTTCGACACCTCGCGTGTCCTGAACTACGGGGCGATTAGAGGAAGTGACGACCTACGCAACAATCTTGCACGACTGTATTCTGCCAAGGTCACGAACCCCCTCTCTCCAGACAACATCCTCATCACTCCCGGTGCCATCCAAGCAAATTACCTGACTGCATACGCCCTCGCCGGACCGGGAGACCATGTCATCTGCCACTACCCCACCTACCAGTCCCTCTACGAGGTACCCAAGCAGCTGGGTGCTGAAGTCGACCTCTGGAAAGCAACACCAGAGAACAAATGGGTACCAACAATCGACGAGTTGAAGTCGCTCATCAAGCCCAATACCAAGCTCATCATCATCAACAACCCAAATAACCCCACCGGAGCCATCCTAGGCAAGACCTTCCTCCAAGAGCTCATCGACATCGCGACCGAAAAGGACATCACCATCATGAGTGACGAAGTCTACCGCCCACTATTCCATTCCATCATCCCCATAGACAAAGAATTCCCTCCCTCCCTTCTGTCTATGGGCTACAAGAACGTCATCGTCACAGGCTCCATGTCAAAAGCTTATTCCCTCGCAGGTATCCGCATCGGCTGGATAGCATCTCGCAGCTCTGAAATTATTGAAAAGATCGCTTCAGCACGGCACTACACCACAATCTCCGTGTCCTATTTCGACGAAGCCATCGCAGCCTACGCGCTTCACTCATCAACAGTGCACAGCTTGCTAGCCCGCAACATCCAACTCGCAAGAACCAACCTGGCACTTCTGGAGAAGTTCCAACTCAAGAACGAAGATGAGTGTGAGTGGGTGAAGCCTGTTGCGGGCACTACGGCTTTCGTCAAGTTCCACCGAGAAGGCAAGCCGGTGGATTCTGTAGACTTTTGCAAGAAGTTGCTGGAGGCTACGGGTGTGATGTTTGTGCCTGGTAGTACTTGTTTCGGCGAGGAGTTCAAGGGGTACGTCAGAATTGGGTTTGTTAATCAGACGGATGTTGTAAAGGAGGGGCTGGATGCCGTGACGAAGTTTATACGGAAGAATCTTGATGAGGTGGACTTGGCAGAGTAGAGTATTGTATGGTCAATAGGAAAGCTTTGCATGGAGTACATACGTTTGCAGATCACTGCTCGGTCCGAAACAGCCACAGCATCTGCGCCACACTAGCCACAAGATTGGGGGCTAGTGGACTCAGCCCTGTGGACGCCTTACGCCCGTATCAAAGTGTGACTTCACAGCCACGACTGTGATCAACGTGCTTTTACCCTACCGAGATTGTATAGATAGTAAATGCTGTGATGCCCTAATACATGCTCTCTCATCATCTTATCTCCGCACTACCTGGCATCTTCGTCTCCGCGCTTCTCCCATCCAACTACACAAAACTTGTGATAGCTACAATGACAGACCCCTCCAAAGAGAAAAAAGACTCTACCACACCCCTCGTAAACGTGACAAGCGTTTCAACAACCTCTACATCCACATCTGCATCAAAACCCCCAACAGTAACACGAGACCGCCCCTCATCCTCCTCATCATGGCGTTCAAAACTCCATATTCACTCCTCCTCTTCTCCATCTAGTCACCGCCGTTCCAAATCCGCAGAACCAGGCAAAGAGCGCTGGCGAGATGCGACACTGAGTGAAAAGGAGCGCTGGAAGGATTGGCAGAAGGCGAAGGATAAGGAGCAGATGCGTGGGTAAGTCATATTCCCTAATGCGAGAATGATGGAGGTGAGGGATGAGTTTGCTGACGAAAGCTGTGATAGGTCGACGGCAGGGGCTTTTACGCAGTTCTATAAGGGGAAGGGGAGTGCAGGGTATTGGTTGGATGTAGGGTTCTAATATACAGGAATGGTTTGCTTGAAAACAGTCAAAATGTATTATTTATACGCTACTATCAGATGCTTTCTTGAGATATCAAGTCAGCTCTGCAAGTAAATCAAATTTGTTCCTAAGCCCGAGCCTTTCCTTTCATAGAACGTGCTGACGAAGCTGGGGAAGGGGTATCATAACAGTGGACCGATGCGCCGACGCCGAATAAGATTAAGACAATGTTCGATGTGCATGAAAGGGAATTAAAGAGAACAGCACTTGGGCTTAGTCACCGTTGTATGTGGCCATGACGTGGTGCAGGGCGCGGAGGTCTGTCAGGACACCTTGATAGACGTCTGTTAGAATAATGAGCGCTATGGTGTAAGGAGTAGTTGTAGGCAATAGTACTTGCTTCACACTACGAGAGAATAGTAGGGGACAGCTCTATATTCCTACGTTTAGTAAGGGTAGTTGTATATAGGGGAAAGAGAATAATTCCTGTCCTCTCTCCTGTGCGCAGAGCGCAGGTTAAGAGCAAGTTTCTAGGCTAAGGCGTAAGCGAGAGAAGCAAGCATATCACGTAATCGTTTTCTTTACTCTGCCGTCGCCATCTTGTGTTACATATGGCCATGATGCTGTGGCCTGCAGCCGGACGAGATGGGACCGTCTACCTCTATTCTATCATAGGAAGCACATTCAGGAAGTCTTGCGTGGGCCTGCTTGATTTCGATGTGCGAAATTGTGAGGTGACAATCCTATGTCAGCGCCCAGACGTCCTGGATGCTGGATCGTAGCTCGAGCATCCCGTTTCCGGTTGGAAGAGAACCCAGGTGGAAGTGCCGGCTTGTTGATGCATCACCATGTATCGATGAGGAGACGAGTGGTGCTGTTTCAAAGCAGCCTTGCCTGCCTCAATGAAGTTGACATCGACTGGAGTAGCGCAATTGAACCCTGCTTCGGAGGCCTCGCCGGTGTGGGTCGCTATGACTGTCCTGGGCATCTCGTCGAGAAACACGGGACCTCCAGAGTTACCTGCGTCTTACTTTTAGTATGCGTAGAAAGTTGACGTGCCCTTCAGCGTTGGTACTTACCTGGCATGGTCGATAGCTTATATTGTAATAGCTTTCTGACTTTGAGCTCAGCCTCGCCCTTCACTACGTACATGCAGCCAGCCTGCTGGCAATTCTTACATGAATCGTAGACCTGCTGTGTGTTTTCGCTGGGGTAGCCAACGACGAGGACATCTGACTTCCCTAACGACGGGGCTTTGTACAAGGCTGGCTTGACCTCCGTGAACCTGTGTTGGAGCACGACGAGAGCCCTGTCGTCTTGCGAAGAAGTGAATTTAGACTTGGCCCATTCTTGACGCACGATGAACATTGTGCAGAAGCGCTCTTGGACCCTGATTCCTCTAGAAGAGCCTTGAAGGTGGTACCCAATATAAGCTCTGACAGACACAGCACGGGAGACACAGTTGGGCCCACCAACGTTCATAAAGTTGTGTGCCGAGGTCGAGACAAGCCAAGGTCCTATGAGGCCACCAGAAGCATCGAACTCGTGACCATCTTTGTCCATTATCTCGAGCTTGACGACGCCTACACGAGCCCATAAGCAATGTGCTCACCTCCACAGCTCTAGCCACTTACATCGGTAATCTCCCTTCTCATCTTTGTATTCTTTCGGGTCTACGTGGACTCGAAAATTACGCTTGACCAATGCCTCAGACCGGGGACCTTTCGAAGGCCATTTGGTTTTGAGCTTCCAAAGTTCCAGGTTCTCCGATGCTGATATGGCGCTATATGTGTTTGTCGGTGGACGTCTGGGACCGGCTATAGTGGCCGTTGCATGCGAGCGTGATGCCGAGCGAGACATTATTGTGTGTGGAGAGCGAGTGCTCTGGTGTATGACATCAGTGAAGGACACCTAGATTACAGGAAGTGATCTCAGAAGGGCGAGCACCTACGTGATGGGAGTAACTTTCTATCGAATTTTGTTGAACTTGTTCGATATGAACAGGTTATATGGTCAGTGAAGCGTCGTACAGGTATGAAAGGTAAGAACACTCGCTGTGCGGCCAGGATATGAGCAGATCATATCTCGAGGAGGGCACACGTCGCGCCTCGGGCCAGACAGGCAGTGCAAATCATGTCCGGATCAAGCGTAGATTATTTTAATGGAGAGCTGGCAGTGCAAAAGTTGGCGCTGTTCCATACTTCAGATTCGTTAGTCAGCCAAGCCACACATGAGGTGCCTGCAATAAACGGAAAGCCACAAAACCAAAAGAGACTTCTTTCAGCGTAGGCACTATGAATCTGGATATGAGGGCGATCCGAACCCGAGATTTCTTATTCGTTGATGCGGTTACGCTGCGGGCTGGTCAGCCCGCACACCTTGGACATGGCAGCCCACTTAAGCCTTGCGGGTACATATAGTCCAGAATCCCGATGCGGGCGTCTGCAAGAAGCTTTCGACGAATACGCAGAGAGTAAGCTGCAGGAGAAAGAGACATAAATAGAAGTGTACACCAAATCACTCGTGATATGAGTGGGTGGATGTCAAAGTCTTCCGAATCTTTGGCCAGATATAAACAGCTACCGACGGGACGAGGAGGTGCATATGCTGCCCGATATTAAGCCACAAGCTGCGCATTGAAGTTATGTTGATGGCATTGCCCTTTGCAACTAGTGCTGGACTGGTATCGTACAGTAGTCTACAGTGGTTTGCCGTTATATACAAGTCGTGTACATGGTCGTAATAGGTCGTGCGCGGTCCCGTAATATCAACAGTTGATTTTCAGCAGGAGTTGCAGCCACCTGTGGTGCTAATAGCGCCTCGGTCGTCTCAGCGAGGCTATGGTCGCGGGATAGACACTTTCGTCCCTCGAAACAGCTTTGTAGTACCGCCTCGTGCGTGCGCGCGAGAGCTTATTCCTCGGGGATGATTCGGTCCACAGCTGCATCTTGGTTAGATTCCACCTCAGAATTGCAACCAGATAGACATACCTTTGCCGTTCTCGAGCAAGTAGCCTGAGCAGTCAATCTTCCACTCATCACCTCTCACCTTGACCTTGGCGATCCCGAACCTCAGCACGGCGAACTTGAACTTCAAAAAGAAGTTAGTCCATTTCTGATGCACCCAGCGCGCAGAACCCTCCCAAGCACGCGCTGCAATGTTCATATGTCCCAAGTCATCCCACAGCTTCTGGCGCTTGAACCGTTCCGCCTCAAGCAACTCTGCCACCATAGGCTCCGTCTTCTCACTTATTGTCGCTTTGCCCAAATCCGTGTATATGACGCGCTCTTTCAGCCACGGCACCGGCTTGACTACCATGCGCAATTGCATGGGCCCGCCCTGCAGACTTGGGAGGATTTCCAGTGCGCGCATACGGTTGCTGGGCGCGGTGCAGATGTAGCAGCCGATGATGATGAAGCCCACTCCTACCACGACATAGGTCGGTCGGACGAAGAAGGATAGTCCGTTGTCTTTGATGTCGTCATTGAACTTGATCGAGAATGCTCCAACACCGATCCACAGTGCTCCTGTTCCGTACACCTTCAGATAGTACCATTTGTTCTTGGGCGCTTGGTAGAGGAGGACTGGCTGGCGGGTTTGGACTACTTGGCGGAGGACTGGGTCGTTGCTCACGAATGAGCTGGGTCTTGGTGCGACTACGTTGGTCTTGGGATATTGGTAGCGTCGGAGGACGGATGATGTGAAAGAGCGATTCTGGCGTATTGTCCGTATCGTGCTGGGTGTGAAGAACGATTCTCGTGCTCCGAAGAGGGCGGCGCGGAGCGATGAGGGGAGGCGGAGGGTGTGTTGGCGCATGAAGGCATCGAAGCCCCGGGAGAAGGCGGGCATTGTGAGTGCAGTGATACGGGGGTTCAAATGCAGCGCTATACACCGAGCATACTCCAGCAAGTCAATGCGTCAGTATGTGGGCGTGGATGCCGTCGCGACATGTCGGGAAAAAGTCCAACTAGAAGCGGCCCAAGCGCGTCCCGCTCGACACCTCCGAAGCTTGTTCCGCCCAACATTTCCCGCCAGCAGATCAGCACCGTCGCCAACCACCCTCCCACTGCCATTGTCTCCGCCCGTCAATTGATTTTCCATGGCTTCGCTCGCTGCGGTATGTAGGGTCTCGGCGCGGGCTGCCTCGCAGCAGTTGCGCAGCCATGGCGCCCGGAGAGGTATGCAAGAGAAGGCTCAAAACACCGGAGAATGGACAGAATTGTTGACATGATGGCCAGGACTTCACTCAAGTCAGGCTTCGCTCGCTGCGCAAAACTTCAACATGCCTGCGCTTTCACCGACCATGACCGAGGGCAACATTGCGAGCTGGAAGATCAAGGAGGGAGACTCTTTCTCCGCCGGCGACGTGCTGCTCGAGATCGAGACGGACAAGGCGCAGATGGACGTCGAAGCGCAGGATGACGGTATCTTGGCAAAGATTACTGTACGTAGGAGAAATGCTGTTGGATCAAAACATGGCTAACAAGGACTCCAGGTCCAAGACGGTTCCAAAGCAGTCCAGGTCGGCACACGGATAGCCGTCACAGCAGAGCCCGGCGACGACCTTTCCACCCTCGAGATACCCGCAGAAGAGAGCCACGCGCCTAAGAAAGAGGCCGAAGCGCCCAAAGAATCCAAGAAAGAGCCTGCGCCGGTACCAAAGGAGGAGCGAACCTCTGCCCCGCCTGCCAAATCCGATGCCTCGAAGAAAGCCATCAGCGGCAAGGCCTCCAAGCAAACGTACCCGCTATACCCATCCGTACAACACTTGCTCGAAGTCAATGGCCTGCCAAAGGAGGAGGCTGACAAGATTCCCGCGACCGGTCCTGGCGGCAGGCTGCTTAAGGGAGACGTGCTCGCATACGTTGGTCAGATCGAGAACTCATACCCTTCGGAGCTGGCGAGTCGCTTCACAAAGCTGTCGCACCTCGACCTCTCCAACATCAAGCCCATGCCTAAGAAGGAGGCACCAAAGAAGCCTGCAGCCGAAGCCCCAACAGTCGTTGAGGACCTCCCTATCGAGGTAGCACTACCCGTCTCCCTTACCGCAGTAATGGAATGCCAGAAGCGCGTCAAGGACTCAATAGGCGTCTTCCTCCCTCTATCAACCTTCGTCGCGCGCGCCGCCGAGCTTGCCAACGAAGACCTCCCCCGATCCAAGGTCGCAAAGCCAACCGCCGACGAGCTATTCAACGCAGTCCTAGGTCTCGACAAGGTATCATCGAAGTACTCGCGGGGCAACTTCGTCCCAGAAGTTACCGCGCTACCACCCACCACCATCCCCAGCAAGCGCGCCCCAGCACCAAAGTCGGATATCCTCGACATGCTAGCTGGCACGAAGATCTCTGCTAAGAAGTCCGTTTCAGGCGCCGCAGGTGTCGCAGGACCCCTCAACGTATTCAGCGTGAGCGTACCCAAGGGCGACGAGAAGCGCGGTCGCGTCTTCCTCGAGCGCGTCAAGACGGTGCTTGAGGTTGAGCCAGGGCGATTGGTCGTTTAGAGGAAGATCATTGCGCGATTTGTATCATATAACCTCATTCAAGAAAAAAACTGAACAGGTCTGCAGACTACATCAAAACAAAAACTTGCAAAGTAGGTGGTCCAACGTCAACGTAGGCTCCAGGCTGTTCAGTTTTTTCCTAGGTTGGCGTGATATTGTATCTCTACCTACCTGTTTGGGAGGGTAGAGAGGTGCCGGCAGGTAGCCATTCCCATTACACTTCCATGACGAATACCAATTTTTAGACGAATGATTTATACTTGTTCCTATTGTAAACTATCCCGTGTAGCTTCTGTCTCCGTTTCTTCCTAGGTAACCCACCCCTCAAAGTCGGGAAGTCGTGGCTTCCTTGCGCGGTACTTCCCATACAGAACTCAAGCCACCCATGCACACCCCTCTTGTTTCCATCATATCCCGCGATTCGCTGCGCACATTGTGTTCTTGACGATCTCCTCTTTTGCCGGCCTGGTGCGGAGAGTTTGTAGGTAAGGTGTCGGGGTAAAGTAAAATGCCGCAAACCTACCTTCGTGTCGCACCAACACAAAATGCCGCAGTCTACTTTCAAGTATTCGGCGGCTGCGCCTCATTCAGAACGTTCATATACGAAAGACCGCCCATGAAAAAAGAACGTTGGATACAATCTCGACTATTGCACTTGCACATTTGTTCCTTCCATGTTTGATGCTAATTGTCACACCAGAAGTGGTTAGCGCGGCATCCGAGCGCCAGAAGGGAATTCCTTCGGTTCTACTGGCAGTGGTAACAATTCGAAGGAAGTCACGCACTGCAATTCAAAAGATGGAGAAGACAGAATATATGATGAGGTAATTTTCTTTATTATCTCTAAGGATCGTAATGCACGTTGTCGTGGTCGTGTCTAAGCATTCTATGTAACTAACTTTTGTGCTAGGCAGGTATTCTGCTCTTAGAGAGCAAGAAACCCTCCTTGCATGCCCTTAGCAAGGCCTCTCCATCCTAACATACTATACTTTATACAGTTCCTCCATAAACTTGGCTTTAAGCCTTCTCCTGCATGTTCTCGCTGCCAGCGACAGAAGAGTCGCGGCTGTAGTAGCGACCAAAGACACGGTCCTCAATCTCCATGTTCTTGTCGACCTTTCCATTACCGTGCTTGGCTGCCATACGGCGGAAGTAGATGCGCTTGCACCACTTCCAGAACTCGATACCGGCAAAGAAGATACCGGTCTCGATGAAGACGATACCCCACTCCCAGTCGATGGGCGCGTGCTTGAACACAACCGTGTTGAGAACCGGGATGTAGATGAGGGGGAAAAGGAGGACGAAGCCGATCATAATGGCCCAGAAGAGGAACTGGTTCCTCCATACATCGATCATCCACTGGGTGAAGTAGCGCTTGCTGCCAGGCTGCATGCGGAAGAAAGAGCGACGCATATCAACCATCTCCCATGCGAGGAAGAGCGCGAACCATGTCAGACAGGCGAATGTGCAGGCACGGGCACGGAAAACCAACTCACACTGCTCCGAGTAAGTCTCGTTGCAACCTGTGCCGAGCTCTCCGTCACCGAATCCGAAGACGACGAGCACGAAACTGGCCAAGCAGAGAAGCGTGATCCAGAGACCATAGACAACCATGTCGACAAGGAACTCCATGGTGAAGATACCCGTCTTGAGGGATTGAGGTGGGCGGTTCAGGATATCAGGGACAGCGCGTTCGAAACCAAGACCCATGTCTGGCAATCCAGACGTGGCCATGATAATCCACACAACCTGTACGGGCGCGAGAGGGAAAACGGAAAGACCAGTCCTGTCTTTGAAGGCAAGACCAACGAGAAGCGTACCAGCCTGAGCGACGTTCTCAGCCAAGACGTGCAGCACGAACTTCTGAATGTTGTCGAAGATACGGCGACCTTCTTCAATGGCAGCGAGAATGGATGCGAAGTTGTCGTCTGTGAGCACGATATCGGAGGCTTCCTTGGCGACGTCTGAACCGGCTTGACCCATGGCAATACCAACGTCGGCGCGCTTCAGCGAAGGAGAATCGTTGACACCGTCACCAGTCATAGCGCAGAACCGGCCGCGACGGTGAAGAGCTTCGATCATGCGGACCTTGGTGCTAGGCGCACAACGGGCTACAACCAAAGGCAACACTGGGAGCTCATCGACTTGGTCGTCAGTGAGTTCGTCAAACTCAGAAGCGGTCATAACCAGCGACTTGGCGATGTCGGCAGAAATCTTCTTGTAGCGGTCGGCCGATGGCAGGATGTGAACTTCGATGGCAATGGCCTTCGCTGTCTCCGGATGGTCACCAGTCAACATGTGGACCTCAATACCAGCCTCGTGGCATTGGCGGACAGCGACAGCGGATTCGGGACGAGGAGGGTCATAAAGACCGATGAGACCACGGAAGACAAGGTCGGATTCGACAGAGGTACGGGCAACTTCAGCACCCTTCTCAACTTCGCCGGGGTACTTCTTGCTGGCCAAAGCCAAGACACGGAGACCGAGACTGGCAAGAGCTTGCATGTGGGCAAGAATCTCCTCACGGAACTCGTCGGTAATGGGTTGGGATTGCTCCTTGCCGTCGGCGAGGTAGGTGGTACAGCTCTGGATAACGCGCTCGACGGCACCCTTGGTGAAAGCGTAGTTTCCGGAGCTGTGCTTCATGATGACTGACATGCGCTTGACGTCGGAATCGAAGGGAAGCTCAACAAGGTCCTCCCACGTAGCAGAGTCACCCTTGACGAGATGGCTGCGGTTCATGCCGAACCGGGAGGCGAAAACCTGGATAGCGATTTCGGTGGGATCACCATGAGCCTCCCAGGCGCCTTCGTTGTTCTGCTTGACGGCAGCCAAGTTGGCCAAAGACGCGACCTTGAGAAATTCGCCGAAACCCTCGATGTTGTGGCCTTCAAGCTTCTCGACGCCGAGACGTTCGCCGCACGCCTCGCCTCCGGACTTGAGGTCCATCTGGCTAGGAGCTGCGGAACCAAAGCGCACGTGACCAGCAGTGGGATCCTGAGGAGCGGTGGAATCTTCGATGGTGTAAGTTCCAACACCTGGGATCCAGGCACCACGGGCAATCATTTTACCCTGCGTAAGCGTCCCGGTCTTGTCAGAGCAAATGTCGGTAACACCACCGAGAGCCTCAAGGGACTTCAGGTTTCGGACGATGACATTGCGCTTAACCATGGATTTTGTACCCGCTGCCATGGTGATTGTAAGCACAACTACCAAACTAGCTGGAATCATGGACAAGCCGGTAGCGACAGCGTAGATGATGACTTCCTGGCGAGAGCTGAACTCGTTGGCTGCCAGGACGATGATGGCACAAACGACGGCGATGAAGAAGAGCAGAACGGCAAGCTTGGAAAGCTTCTTCTGGAGAGGCGTTCCGACGTTGAGACCCAAAAAGCGACCAATCGCGTCGGTAGTAGTAAGAGTGTAAGCCTCGAGGTAACGGTGGGGCTTTGCCTTTCCGTTCTCCTTTCGCTTGACAGGTCGAACTTTGGACTTGGTCTCGCGGAGCTGAGCAGCGATAGCACCAATTTCGGTGTAGGCACCGGTCGCGAAAACGATTCCCTTAGCTCGGCCCTTGGTGACCGAGGAAGAGCTGTAGGCAACGTTGAGACGATCTCCGGGACCAGTCTTCTCTTCGAAAGTGGCATCCTCTTGCTTGCGGACAGGCAGAGACTCTCCGGTAAGCAGGGCTTCATCGGTCTCGAAGTTCACGGCATCAAAGACCCTGATGTCGGCGGGAATGGTGTCTCCAACCTTGACTTCGATGACATCTCCAGGAACAACATCGGCGGAAGGAATGGTAACTTGCTGACCACCGCGGATGAGACGGGCAGTAGGCGAACTGAGAGAGCGTAGGGAGTCCATGGTCTTCTCAGCGGACCATTCCTGGAAGAAACCGACGACGATGTTGAGACCAATAACGAAGGCAACGACACCACCTTCGATCCAGGACTTGATACCGAAACTGACAGCCATGGCCATGATGAGGACTAGTGTCATAGCGTTGGCGACCTGCGCGATGAGAATCTTGACTGGGGAGACGCTCTCAGCTTCTCCAAGTTCGTTGGCGCCATAGTCTTCGACACGACGCTTGGCTTCGGAGTCATCAAGACCATGCCATTCATCGGTCTTCAGCTCGGTCTTGACTTGCTCCAGCGTAAGGCTGTGAGCCGGCGCGGACATTGGCTTGTTGCATTGTCCACTGACGTGACCCTCGAGGGTCGTTTCTTTCTTCCCCATGATGGAAGAGTGTGTAGGGCTCAAAAGAGTTGGTTGTTGGATGTTCGGTCTTCGGGTTGTAAATATGGGTTGATATGATACGGATATCGGCAAGTCAAGACAGCAATCAGCGTTCTAGTCTTCTGCGTACTCTGGCCCCGCGGATTATATCCACGTGGACAATTTTATTGGATTGGGTGTTGATTGTGGTATGCATAGAGGACCTCAGGAGGGGGCGGGGGTCAGACTCCTCCAGATTTACGCCGTGATTGGCGAGTTGTAGGGTTTGTGAGGGTGGGGTTGCGGATGGAAGATGACGAGGGAAAGAGTTGGCAAGTTGGGAGCAAACGTCAAACTAGAACGAGGTGGTACCGACAACAGGTGGTGAGGAAGAGAAGGAAAGGTCTCAGGCGTCTTGAAGATATATGTTGACTGGTAGGGATGTCGGTGAAGAATGTCGGTTCTCCAGAGACATGCCAAGCTCGTCAGTTCGCCAAGGTCGATTCTGGAGGCGAATGCCAAGCTAGCGCGCAAACTTTTCTCCACCCTTGGCAGTGAAGACAGCCATTGAGTGCTCATCACGTTACCGGGGTTTGCAGTGGTAAATCGGGTATGCGGCATTCCTGGCCTTGGCAGGCCTCAGGATCTTCTTGAACCTGCCTGTTCGACTCGTCACCTGCAGAACTTTCCGTTTCAACACCGCGGTGGAGCAGACGATAGGCGTTTCGCAGACTCAAGCCTTGTCTAAGCCTTGTCTTGACGCGATGTGAATGGTCGTATGCGGAGCATCGTGCAGCCTGGCGGAGTCGAGATCCAGCGGAGATTCCCCGGTGCACGGACCTGGTGGTGAAGAAATGTGTGGAGCGACATGCCGGAGCCGCGTGTAGATGTACTGCGAACTGGGCGAGATACGGGGCGAGATGTCTCTATGGGCCCTGCACGTGGGCTTGGCCGTTGAGGTGATTGATAGCGCCGTGGCTCGAAAGAGTTCTACGCCGTGATGGCCGCGGCTTTGACATGACGTCGTCATGGCACGCCAGGGTCTGCCGATTGTGTTCTCGAGCCCAGCCTTCTCACGGGCTTAGCTATTGCTTGCTGCCCTCCCAGCCTCGAGTCCAGACACTGTATCACCCTGTCTGTGTAGCATGTCGTCCTCGAATCCCGACGCCGCGCCGTTCTTGCAGTATCACGAGCCCGAAAGTAAGCGCTCCCAGTCACAATCGTTCAGCACCTGCATACCCCGAAACGTCGATCTCAACTAACGCAAGCTTAAGTCGTCGAAATTCTTATCCTGGTATCTTTCTTCACCTTCTTATGGCTCGCGGAGTACGTTTCGGCCAAGGTCATCCGTGCCGGCATCATTGGTCCGATTGCGGTTGGTATCATATATGGCGAGCCGTTGGCAAATATCCTCGAACATGATTGGGCTGGTACGCGTCCCTGCTGCAGAAAAAGCCCCATTTGCGACATTTACTGACTCTGCGCCCCGGTATTTAGAGACGTTTCTATATCTTGGCTACATTGGCTTGATCTTGATTATCTTCGAGGGCGGTTTGAGCACTCGCCTTGACCTGCTCAAGGCCAACTTCACGCTGTCGATCTGTGGGGCTGCCACAGGCGTACTGTGTCCAATAGGTTTCAGCTACCTCTTGCTGTATCTTGGGTTCGGCTATGGCGCTGTCGAGACCTTCATCATCGGCGCTGCTCTGAGCACGACGAGCCTGGGCACCACGTTTGCCGTTATCTCAAGCGCCTCCAAGGACGTCGATCTCAGCCAAACCAAAGTCGGCGCTGTACTCGTCAGCGCGGCCGTCATTGACGATGTGACCGGTCTTGTCATGTCCAGTGTCATCCACGATCTAGGCGATGTCGCGTCCGGAGGCAACGTCAACTTGGGATGGTTGATCGGCCGGCCTATTCTCGCATCCGCGGCCATGGCAATACTTACCCCAGTCCTCACCAAATGGTTCTTTGCGCCTCTGTTTCGAAGATACGTTGAGAGGCATTTTCACAAGTTCGACCACTTGTCAAACATTATGTTGATGATCCTGGTATTATCTGCCTTCATCTCAATCGCTGCTTTCGCAGGGACCTCCATCCTTTTTGGAGCTTTCCTCGCCGGCGCTTTCTTGACGTATCTCCCATCTACGCACCCAGAAGGCCCCTTTGTGGTCATGAGCCGCGAAGAAGGCGAGCGCTCCAAAGACAAGTCCCCGACCTTTGTGCACACCTTTGAAGTATATTGCTTGGACGCGCAGCAGTATGTACTTGGACCTCTCTTCTTTGCTAGCATAGGATTTGCGATTCCTTTCCTGGATCTTTGGACTGGGGAAGCCATCTGGAAAGGCGTCGTATACACCCTACTCATGCTGGTAGGTAAGGCGCTCGTCGGTGTATGGATTCCAATCTGGGGTGCCGCAAAGCATGATCCCCAGAAAGCACAAGAAGTACAAAACCAAGAATCCGCGGCCGAGAATGGAAACACCCTCGAGAAAGTCACCTCGTCGCCCTACTCACCCACCCGCAAAGCCGCGGTACAGTCCGCCGTCTCGCCCATGCTCCTGTTGGGCATGGCCATGGTCGCCCGTGGAGAGATCGGTCTACTAATTGTGGAAATCGGGTACAACAACACACCATATGTCTCTGCGGAGGGATTCATAACAGCCATATGGGCCATCTTGCTGAACACAATTATTGGGCCTGTGTGCGTCGGTTTGGCCGTCAAATACAGGGGTAAGAAGATCGGCAAAGGACCTTGGGGCTTGGTTCCAGGCCCAAACCAGGCTATCGAGGAAGAGATGAACAGGAGGAGAGAGTCGCGTATGAATGATCAGATGCAGGAAGAGGGAGAAGCGAGGATGGAGGCGCACCGTAATAGTCGCATGGGTTGATCGAAGAGCTGTATGAGAAATGAGGATTTTTAAGAAAGGCAAAAGTAGATTTATCGCGTTATCGCATGTTACATAATGTTTATATAAGAAGTATCGTATAGTAAGGTATGAACTACAGCTTACCACTGCGACTAGTCGAACACGTTCTCTCTGCCACAACCGTGTTATCTGAAAGATCGGCTGTTCATGCATGGTTTAAGATAGCGAATGTTGTACGACAATGATTCTGCAAGACTGCATATCCAAATTGAACGTGACATAAGAACCCCGCATATGTCCAAAGGGAATTCCAAACAAGAATGGAGTTCTAATTCAAGGTTTCCGAAGCTACCTCTTTCCACCAGAACACCCCAAAGCAATTTCCCGTCGTAACCCCAATCGCACACCTCAACCAAGACTGCAAAAAAAAAAAAAAAAAAAAAAAAAAGCACATACTTCTCCCACGTATCCTCTACCTCGCCTTCCTAGCCACCCGCTTCTACGCATTAAACATCCACTTCCTACACCCACCCTCCGGCCTCGTGTATCCCTATTCCATCCACCTACTCGCACTCTTCTCGTCTGTAGCGGAAGCGTTATCTGCAGTACCGCTCTTCTTTTTTCCCCCAAACCCCCAATCTGAACTCCAACTACCACAAGCCTGGGTACAACAATGGCATCCGCTTTCTTCCTCTGCAGCGTACTATTGTTTACATAGATGGCGCTGACGACGCGCCCCCGTACGTTCGCTGTAATCTTGCGGAGGGTAACACCGCGATACGTTGTTGACACAAGGCCGTCTGCGTATATCCGGCATCCGACGTATGTGTCTTATGCGTTGGGGTGGGTGGGCGCTGTGTTGTATATTTTGGTAGCGTGTCTGCCGGCCTACTTCTCCCACTGAAATGATGTTAGTGGCGCGTGGATACCCATGCCAGTCCGTAGTGCGAGGCTGGTGGTCGCGGTCCTGGTACTCTTGTGGCTGTATAGGAGAGGGGCAGTGCTGGAGGAAAAGCACTTTTTGAAGGATGAGGGGAGTGTGCGTGGGGAGAAGACAGAGGAGGGGGTTAGAAAGGAGTATTTGGCGTACGTGGGGAGGGTGAGGAGTCGTTGGATCCCAGGGTTTATGTAGGAACAGAGTCAAGGGAGGGCGGAATGGATGAGTATTGTTGGGGTGATAGACGTCATCTTTTTGGCATGTCAAGTGTTCCCTGGCATCGTGGGCAGCAAGACAGTACCAATCTCTGGAACACTCCGACAGAACGAGTTGGATGGTATATATGTACATAATGCGAGAAACAAATATTAATGATTGAACTAACTAATACCCTTAGTCGGCGGAAATTTGCCTGCGCCTTTGCAATTTATATTACAAAGATGTGCTCTCGAGAAAACACGAAACGGAAAAAACTTCAGGAGTCGCCTCATCATGGATCCGATCAGAAGCTAGGTGCGTTGAGTGCCATGACGCACAAAAGGCCAGAGACAAGACCGGCGGCGGGTAGGGTCATGACCTGGGATTGTTAGAGACGAAGAGCTAGAGCGTGGGGGATACAACTAACCCATCCTGAGAAGATGAAAGCGAGTTGGCGCCAGTTGACGGCACCAAGATCGTAGTTCATCAAAGCCACACCGACCGCTGAACCAGTCAGACATTGTGTGGTTGACACTGGAAGACCAAGTCGGGAAGCTAGCAAGACGGTAACAGCAGCGCCTAGTTCGACAGAGAAACCGCGAGTGGGCGACATCTGAGTGATCTTGTTACCAAGGGCACGAACGATGTGGTATCCGTAGAACCTAATGTTCAGTCAGTATATATATCACATGCAGTTTGTACAAGAACTTTACTTACCAGAAACCGAGACCAAGCAGAAGACCAGCTACGACCAAGAACCAAACGGGGGTAGGCGAGCGTGTAGCAACCTCTCCAGCTAAGTATGTCTGATAGACAGCAGCCCACGGTCCGACAGCGTTGGCCACATCATTGGAGCCGTGAGCGATGGACATCATCATAGCTGATACAACCTGACAGTACGTCCACAAATGTTCGACGCGAACATCGTAGCGGATGGCTTTGGAGTGAATGGCGCGCAAGAGATCATTGTCGTGGGTGATGACGTCGCAGGTCACACCTCTGAGGAAAACGAACTTGGTGTATGCCCACCATTTCTGAGGGTTAACCCATGAGAGATGCTTGACAGGGACGATCCAGCGTTCGTAGGGCTCCGGAGTCTTCAGTTTTCGGGCCGGCGCACTGGTGCTTTCTTCAACGCGTGTCTTTTCGGGGTCGCTGGGAAGGACGCCACCGTCCTTGGTCGAACCGGATGGCGATGCAGCATCTACTTTCTTGATGTCGTCGTCGTTGGCGGGACTGGCGATGGCATGCTTTGTGTTGGTTCCAGCATGCACTTCGCCGTAGGCGTCCTCGTAGTAATCGGTGACGTATTCGTTGCCTTTGCCTGGCCAGAACAGAGTAGTGCCCTCTTTGAGAAGCAAGGGGCCCAAGACGACGTGCCAGATCCGAACACGGGGGTCTTTCATGATGAGCTTGCGCTTGAAGAATGGGATGAAGAAAATATAGCAGATCGCCAAGCATCCAAAGAAGACTCCCAAGATGATGCCAGCAGCCTTGCCAGCTCCGAATTCTTCGAGGGAGGGTGCAGTGGGCGCTTCAACGACAATAAAGAGAGCTAAGATAGCTCCTGTCATGGCGAAATAGACAGGGATGAGGCGCATGGCGTGCTTGAAAGGGTCTTTGCGTTCGAGAACCGAGTACTTGACGGTGCCGAAGATGATGGCTGAGAAGGCACCAGCAATCAGAGGGGCGATAGCCCAAGAAGCAGCAACCTGTGATACTGAGCCAGACTCCCACGCCCATTTGACAGAAGCCTGGCTAGCGAATCCGACTCCAATGAGAGCGCCTACTACCGTTTGGGTAGTGGACACTGGCATTCCTAGATGTGTAGCTAGCATGAGCCAAAAGGCACTGCCGACCTCTGTTCATATTTAGCTCAAGCTCTTTACATCAATCAAAAAACTCACCAGCACAGCCCATGGCCAACATGAGCGCACCTGGATTGCCCTCGAAGCGGGAGATGGAGATGATGCCGTTCTTGATGGTTGAGGTCACACGGGCTCCGAGTGCAACAGCGCCGATGAATTCCGTTACCACCGCAAGGGGTCCAACCTGAACCATAGTCAAGGTACGGGCGGCGACCGAAGTGGCATATGCGTTGGCGACATCGTTGGCGCCATTTCCGAAGGCGGAGAACACAAAGGCAATGGTGGTGATTGCAAGAATCCAATCATACTTGGCTGTGACTGGAGACGCCATCTTGAGTGTGCAGTTGCAAAGATGTGTTTGACAGAACCCTGGTTCCTGGGACCATGGCTAGTCTTATATGATCAGAGTACATGTAGCACATGGCAGTGCAGGGCGTCGGCTTGATGCCGAGCTTGGGGTGACCAGAGTCGCCCAGAAGACAAGATATGGCAAGGTAGGCGCCGAGTGTCTGGCGACGGCTGGGATGGCACATATATGAATTTCGGCCACTGGGGCGCGGTGTTACCACCATGTTCTTGCTGATGGTGAGGCTCCGCCAAGTGCATGAGACTTGCCCAGAGATTCCGCTGTCTTGTCTCCGCCTTGGAGGGCCCCCAAGCTGCAAGACTTTTCAGCCAATAGGCTTGTACGACTGAGACACGCATTGAAGCAGTTGGCTATCAAGACCGCGCGTGCTCCGAGATGGCTACGGGGCCTTGTCTTGAGATGGCAGCTGTGGGATCAATCAGAGTAGCTGTTGGGAGCGGCCGTGTTCTGGCACAGCGGAAGGCGCCACCAGAAGTCTGGTCCAGAATGTAGAGAGAACTGGCATCGAATCGCTGGCGACAGGCGACATTGCGATGTATAAGGGTGGCTGCTGGATGCGGTTGCGAGCTTGAAGGGAAGGTGGAGTCGGTGGAATGGCACTCGCGATGGCGTCACAGCTGACGCAGCTGACGCAGCTGCATGGCTCTGTCTGCGGAAAATTCCACTGCAATGGTCCGGGCAGTTTCGAAGTAATTCTAAGACGTGTTCACCTGCTCTGAAGACGTGTGCGATGTAGTAGTCGTCTTTCACTCATCTTTTGACTCTTCTGGGCCATGGTTCCCGGGTGCCCGCTAGTGATCCGAGAGCCGAATCGAGGCGGGCATGCAGACGGTGCGAAAGCGATGTCGCACAGCAGAAGTTGGTGTCTGAATACCTAGGTAGCGATGGTAACACCTGCGGCTGATCTGCAGATAGATTACAGCCGCCCTGCGCCGGTGCTTCAGGTACCATAAGAATTGGTCTTAAGGTCGCGTGTGCCTGGGCGATGGTAACGCTAAAGCTTGACAGCGCACCGATCCGGGGTAAAGGGCCATATTCAGCGACACAGAGCCTCATGGGGACCGGCAGCTGCAGCGATACCGACGATGTCCATGCGCCGCGTCGATTAACTATTCCCGGAGAGCGGTTCATGGCTCGGTGCGCAACGGTGCGCGACTGAGGCTCATTTCTAGAGTGTTCTCTATATAGAATCTGACAGGGGCTGCAGGTGAGATGAGGCGAGCTCGGGAAGCAGACAACGAGGAAACGCGGAAACGGGCGGTAAGAGCCTCTGCGCAGAGTAAGCCACGGCGTGAATGGAAAGCAATCAGGTTTTCAGAGTCAGGAGTCGATTCATTAAACTCAAGATCCCCTTGGACCGTGAGTAGTTGCGCTCGGGGTGTTGTTCGCAGCCGTGCCTTCCCCACGCTTTCTCCGACCCCCGCCAATGGCTCGCAATTAAAAATTAGCTTACCTCCGAGCTCGCTGCCAGCCGCGAGCTGTTGTCGACGGCGTAGAGGCCGACTCACACCATCCGAGTCCCTTCACCCTCCCTCAACTGACACCCGGCCTCAACCAGGTCAATTGCAACGTCTGCGTCCCGGGCTGCTGTCATCCCCTCACTATGGCGACCGTCACGGAAGAAGTCCGCGAGGTGCTGCTGGGCACCACCGACGAGCCCCAGCTGTCGCAGCTCACGCGCGCCGCCTTTATGAAGCACGCCCAGAAGGACGAGTCAGGCGACTACTACCTCGACCAGGACCAGTTCATCACAGCTGTTGCGCCCGAGGGCGAGGACTTCGTAAGCAGGGCTGTCTGCATCGTGTCGAGTCAAGCAAGCTAATGACGTGCCCGCCTCCAGCACAAGATCAAGCGGTTCCAGTATGGCATCCTCTTCCAGGTCGCCGACCGCGACCAGAAGGGCAAGGTCAGCATGCACGACTGGTCCGTCTTCCAGAACCTGCTCGCCAAACCTGACGCCGAGTACGAGGTCGTCTTCCGCTTCTTCGACAAGCAGCGCACCGGCTACATCAACTTTGACGACTTCTACGAGACATGGAAGGCGCACAAGACCGAGGACAGCCTGCCCTTTGACTGGGAGGGCGGCTGGGCCTCGCTGTACATTGGCTCCAAGAAGCACAGGCACTCGATGACCTACCCCCAGTTCGCCCAGCTGCTGCGAGGGCTGCAGGGCGAGCGGGTCCGCCAGGGCTTCACCTACTTTGACAAGAACAAGGACGGCTTCATCGAGCCCGAAGACTTCCAGCGCATAATACGCGAGACTGCGAGTCACAAACTGTCTGACTACCTCCTCGAGAACCTGCCCACTCTCTGCAACATCTCCGTTGGCAGCAAGATCTCCTACGCCAACGTGCGCGCCTTCCAGAATGTCATCCAGCAGATGGACATGATCGAGCTCATCATCCGCAATGCCACACAGAAGAGCTCTGACGGAAAGATCACCCGCACAGATTTCCTCAACGAGGCCGCCCGGATAAGTCGCTTTAACCTCTACACACCCATGGAGGCAGACATCCTCTTCCACTTTGCCGGTCTCGACGAGGCGTCTGGGCGACTTGGTCTGCGAGACTTTGCCCGTGTGCTCGATCCGTCCTGGCACAGGGCTGGATCATTGGCAGCTCAGGGTATCTCTGAGGCTGGCCAAAAGGTCTTTGCGACCACCAAGTCGATATGGCACGACATTTTAGAGTCGGTCCACCACTTCGCCCTCGGTTCGTTGGCTGGTGCCTTTGGTGCCTTCATGGTCTACCCCATTGATCTGGTCAAGACAAGAATGCAGAACCAGAGAAGCTCAGGCGTCGGGCACGTCTTGTACAAGAACTCGCTCGACTGCGCAAAGAAGGTCATCAAGAACGAGGGATTCAAGGGTCTCTACTCTGGTGTCCTACCCCAGCTTGTTGGTGTAGCGCCCGAGAAGGCCATTAAGCTTACAGTCAACGACCTTGTTCGTGGCAAGATGACGGACAAGTCAACGGGCCAGATCAAGTTCACCGCTGAGATGTTGGCGGGTGGAACTGCGGGCGCTTGTCAAGTAGTAAGTTACCCACTTACTTTCACCTCCCCAACGGCAGCGAGTACTAACACACTGCTCAGGTCTTCACCAACCCTCTCGAGATTGTCAAGATCCGGTTACAAATTCAGGGTGAACTGTCGAAGAACGTCGAGGGTGTTCCTAGGCGGTCTGCCATGTGGATCGTCCGCAACTTAGGTCTTGTCGGTCTCTACAAGGGAGCCAGCGCATGTCTTTTGCGTGATGGTATGCTCTGCCTTCTCTCCCCTCCTGGATATCGCTGACGGCCTGTACAGTCCCATTCTCTGCCATCTACTTCCCCACCTACAGCCATCTGAAGAGAGATCTCTTCGGCGAGAGCCCGCAAAAGTCGCTCGGTGTCCTACAGATGCTGAGTGCTGGTGCCATCGCGGGTATGCCTGCGGCTTACCTGACCACACCGTGCGACGTTATCAAGACCAGGTTACAAGTAGAGGCGCGCAAGGGCGAAGTCGCATACACTGGCCTACGACACGCAGCGTCCACCATCTGGAAGGAGGAAGGCTTCAAGGCGTTCTTCAAGGGTGGTCCCGCCCGTATCATGCGCTCGTCACCACAATTCGGTTTCACACTGGCTGGCTATGAAGTTCTACAACGAGGTAAGTCTTGCATTGCACCGTGACGCGCAGATTGGCCACTGACATGTGCGCAGCTCTGCCGATGCCGGGCTCTAGCCACGATTCAGCAAGCTTGGAGCCGTCTGTCGGTCTTGAGGAGGCGACGGCGCCGCTGCCGTACCTGCGCAGCCGCAACGCGCTCAAGGTTATTCTCGATCTCGACGAGAACTTTGGTCGACCCAAGCTTCCCGCTGGCACCAGGTTTAGTGGAATCCCTGGATTTGGCAAGAAGCCGGAAGCGTGATGGCGGCATGCATGTGCTTAGCCGATGTGCGTTATTGCGGGCGAGGGATAAAATGGGATTGGACGATTTATGGGTGGGATACCGTTTCCGGCGCCAACAACAGCTTCATCAGCCACGATTTGTTTTTGGGCGTTGATTTACCGAGGAGCATGTTTTTACTCGCCAGTTGCCAGTGACTGTGGGGGTGGGCGTGTCTGTCACATTTCTGTTGGAGCATTTCTCAGCGGCACAGTAGTAGACAAGAGCGCATGCAGCATAAGACTGTACGATAGGCGGTCGGTGGCATTTGACAGCGGGCGGAGAGGGGAAGACGGATACGGTGCATGCTGTCGTTGGACACGCATGCGCCTGTAGTCGATAGAACAGGAGGGTTACCAGCATGGCCTGGCGTGCAACTGGGCAGTTAATCTAAGAGTCGAGCTCCATCCAGGTGCGGCCTGTCAAGGCGTGAAGCGAAGGTGAAGCCGCAGCAGGGCAACGCACCACGCCGCACCCAAGTGGTGCCGCGAATAGCCAAACTGACAAATGCCACGCAACGGAAGAATGAGCAGCAGGATGCAGCGAGCTCGGGAGGCTATTGAAGGCCATGGGCTAAACTGCAGGTTCGCAATAGGGCCGATGGAGGCTTCTCGTTCTTGGGCACGCAAAGAGGCGGGGCTGGGCTCGGTCCCCGTGGAGTAGCTCTGGAGCCCTGGAGGGCCTGTGGGGTCCCAGAGCAGCTAGCGGCGCTCGGTGCGGGGATGGCAAACTTCGGTGGGAGCCTCATAAAAACTGGATTGGATTAGAGCCTCGCGCGCTGTAGGTAAGCTGGGGCTGCGCCTCGCAGGAGCTTGGGGGAGGGCGACTGGCGCGACGGCAGCACAGTGACTTTGGCTAGATCTATCGACTTGCACGCTGCCCTTCATCTTCGCTGCCCAGCTGGTTCTTGTATCTCGCACGCTGACCTAACACCCCGACTTCCGCCTGTTCCAGCGTCCGCATCAAGGCCGTCCAGCCAACAAGCCCCCGCAAGTCAGCCTCCTCATCCGCCGCAGTCCCTCCAAGGCCAGCCGTCCATCCTCCTCCTCGATGCTGTAAGGGCAGACGAGGCTCGCACACTGCTACCCACCTCTATGCTATTCGTGAACACACGCCCGTCCCATCTGCGCCTGCGCACGTTGATGTTTGCGATCGGCAGGCCCCTTCGACAGCGCCTTGAGGCTGAAAAAGAGCCGTCGCACTGGCACCCTCGGGTATGTTTTCCACCGCGCAGAGCCGCTTCACCGTTGGCGTCGTTACTTTGCATCATATCTCCACATATAATTCGCGATTCATGATTCTGCTCGCTGCAAATCCACCCCGATGACCAACAACCCGTCTTTTCCACACCCTCACCCCTGCTCTGCCCCAGTCGCTCGACCCGAGCGTCTCTAGCCCAACTCGCATCCGACGGCACCGCAGCTTTTCTCATTTCTGTCACCATCCCACAGACACGCAGCCCCAGCACTTTCCGCCTCCCTTGTTGCGAGAAGAATGCAACCCATGGTCATGCTGACTCTCCTCCAGACAGCGATTCAAGACTGGTCTTGCTGTGCCACCCGCTCTCTTCACCGCCGCCTGGGCCTTTCTCTGGGAGCCTTTGCTGAACGATCGTTGGGATAATCGCCAGTTCATTCCACTTAATCAACAACCATTCTCCTAATACGCGGAATCCGCTGTCCAGATGCAGGTGCTCGACGCCATCCAATCCGTGGAACCAGTGGAATACTACCAGGACGACGACCATTTCTCAAAATCACCACTCTTGGAAGCTCGTGTTGTAAAGGCAACACCATCTCCAACGCCGCAGCCACACATAACACCACTCATCCGCCACCTACCCAACCGACAGAGTGTCAGTCCTCCTCAATCTCGAAATCGGAAAAAGTCTAATAAACATAAGCCCCGAACTCGCCCCACCCAAGGAGACTGGGTGCTCATTCGTGAGATGGACCCGAACCGGCCAGACATTGCCCAAAAAGCAAGCGAGCAGGCCTTGAACTCCGACTCTGATTCGCACTGCTCTGGGGACGACGACATGCCTGATGCCGACTCTCCCGACACGGCAGCGGCCCCGTCCGTCTCTAACCACGGTCAACCAGTGCCACAAAATGCGCGTCCCGCCAACTCAGCACCGACCCTACAAGAAGTGCTTAGCTCAGCACCCGATCCAAAAGCGACGGCTACTCACAGAGACTCGGTGATCGAAGACGAAGCTACCAGACCTTTTGGGTTTGCAGCAGATAGGCGCACATCTCAAACGTATGCAGTTCATGTAGCACCGAATGGCGTGCAACCGAATACAAACGGAATCGATCGAACACTATCTACATCGTCCGCCTTATCGTCCGCATCATTGCAACCACCAAGCCAGCCACCTCGGGGCTTGCCCAATGGCCATTCCCAAGAGAATGATTCAGCAACAGTCCCCGGTCTACGACAACTAACGATCCCGCAGCGCGGAGGGCTTTCGGCAGACACGCTGCCTGCGTTGCAAGCACCCTCTCCTGCGCGTGATGGAGCAGCTACCTCGCCTAGTCAGCAGCTACCCTCATTCCGTCACATTGATGATATAGCGAGATCAGCAACGAATGACCACGAAGCAACGAGAGCAAACAGTATCAGCTTCCCCCATCGACAATCAGTCTCCTCAGTAGGAGCCTCACCAACATCGATGGTTCGCCAGCTTTCCATGAGCTCCCATTCTCCAGCAACACCGTTTCCTCCTCTAAGTGCGTCTTCGCCAATGAGTGCCCACGATTTACCACATCGTGTCGATCTATTTCTCCGCACCTCAGGAGGAGGCGCTTTCGGCACGGATGCTCGGAGGCCTTCGCACGCCGCGTCAGACAACAGCCCTTACACGGCGACATTGCACTCTGCATCGACCAGCGACAGCTACCAAAGCTCAGAGGGTCTCAGTCCTGGTACACAGCAAACACCAATTGAGCAAAGACCCCGACATATGAGTCTAGACGGCGCGCTTGCGTCAAGAGTCTTGCCACCTCCACTTGGCTCTGGTCTACAGCAGAATGTGACTCAGCATATCGTTGGATCCTTCAAGTGCGATTATCCAGGTTGCACTGCTCTTCCTTTCCAGACGCAGTATCTTCTTAAGTAAGTTAAGACTTAAGCATTCTCGATACCGTAGAGTCTCAAATACTGACAATTCCAGTTCACACACCAACGTTCACTCCTCAAACCGCCCGCACTATTGTCCAGTAAAAGACTGTCCCCGAGGCGAGGGCGGCAAAGGTTTTAAACGGAAGAATGAGATGATACGGCATGGGCTCGTGCACCAATCGCCCGGCTATGTGTGCCCGTTTTGTCCAGATCGCGAACACAAGTATCCAAGGCCGGACAACCTGCAGAGGTACGCACTCATGTTTAAACTTATGAAGGGTACGGAACTAATGAATCTCGTAGACATGTACGCGTACACCACACCGATAAAGATAAAGATGACCCGCAACTTCGAGATGTACTTGCCCAGCGGCCTGAAGGCGGTAGTCGGGGGCGAAGGAGACGTGTGAGCGACTCTGGTCACTGAAACCATCGCACTACTTCATCCTTTAGCAGCACTCAGTTCCTTTCAAGTGGCATCAAAACACCATCCATTCCGTTTTTCGCCCCGGCAACCCCTTCACTTCTTCTTCTTCTTCTTCTTTCCCTCTTCTTCTGGCGCTTAGCGATGCTTTGGCGTTAACGGGATGGTGCGGCGGTGTGGGAAGTTACGATTGAGAGGCGCAGGCGAACCCGCCTTTTAGGGCGAAGGACGGTTACGAATTCTTGTAATCCTATTGAGCATCTTACCTTTCTTCGGCTTTCTATCCTTAGCTCGATCTGTTCTACTTCTAGCGACTTTACCCGTGGCTTACTATAATCGTTAGTATAGTAATTTCTTCTCATGATGTGTTGTTTACTCTGACTTGGTCTTCGTGTGCGTGCAGGTATTCTGGTAGAAGAATAGGAATAACAGAAGTCGAGAGGAGAGATGAAGGTGGTGGTGCACGGATACTTCTAACTGATGTCCCCTTTCAACCTTTGACCAACATGTCGCGCCGATCACAACGAGTGATTGTGTCACATGGCAACGCGTTTGTCACAAAGTCAACATCCTACAAACGTTGTCATTTCAGCAACCACTACTATTGGCATCAAACATGGCGAATTCCTGACTGAGGTTTTAGGGATTGGTCGGTATCTCCGATTTTACAACAAGATGACTTGAGGGATTGCAGAGTCGCATATTCTTGGCTACGCGTATCAAGGCCCGGTGCTATCAAACAGCTCAGAACGTAGTTCGGGAGGCCCCAGAAAATATGGCAACGGTCTTGCCAAAGGAAAAGGAGATGACAGAGTTACAGGGACAGGCTTCCGGGGAGGCTCCAGATGAGTCTTGCAGTCCCGACGCGAAGTTGGTGGAAACGCGCTTCGGCATGTCTATCACCAAACACAACCATCCTATCGAATACGGACACCTGCGCGCACTTGAAGTCATCAGCGAAAAGTTAAATTCAGACCCTGAATTCTACCGATCGAGCATCTGACAGAGGCTCCTCAACGTGTGTAAACCTCTATCGCTGCCAGACTTGCGCGCTGCCGAGACACTGGAGACGGCGCTGTTTGCAAAAGCCATGCTAAGGGAGGTTGACAAGTTGTTGGCGGAGAAAGAAGGGCTAAAGATGAGGATTTCACTTGCGGAAAGCGATCGTGAGGTTTTGAAAGTTGAATGATAGGAACATGGGACATGAGGGCAGCACGGATGGGCCGCAAGTCTACGGTGGAGATCTATTGTTGTTGCAAGCACGGGATGGAGACAGAACGGAAGCATATGAGCAGTGCTGCCATGGGCAGTCCACTATCGAATTCAAGTCATGCGTTGCGCCAGTGGGGGTTTGATGCAGTAAGGGGTGGGACCAAGTATGCCGTAACTGGATTTGGCATCGCGCATCCTATTGCACCACGGCACTTTGGTAAGGTTGCAACAAGTCCGCCTGAACGAACATCATAGAACTAATCCCATCATTGTCAATCGCAGTCGAAACTGAATCCGATGATTGAGTAATGCAGAACTAGCCCTGGGCTCAGCTAAGAAAAGAAGAAACGACGAGGAGACGCTTGTAGTTTCCGAGGTCGCTCAAAGCGATATCTCGCGATGAACTGCGCGGGGTTTCAATGCGCCAACGCGGCTCAGCGTATGTATTGATAACCATGCATCCGCAGGACCCGAGAGGGGACTTCATCAATAAACTCATAATGAGCAGTTCTTGCTTTTAGATTCCATATTGAACATCTATTCAGTTGCTCAATTCCCGGCCACCTCGTGCCCCTCGTCCCGTGTCTTACACGCGAACATCTCAACGTGTATCCCCAAGGACAACGCGTCACTTTAAGTTCTGGATGAGATAGAAAAACTTCCAGCATCAGAAAGCCATTACGCATAATACTCGTTTGTGTGATTCAGCACAGTCTTTGAGGAAACACCCCTTTTCAACAATCTACTCTAACCACAACGGTATGAAGAACGGCAGCACTCTGAGCTGGTTGCGGCCAGCGCAATCTACACGAAGTCAGACGAAGCCGGTACCTGCTTCCTCACAAACAGATTCGAATGGCCACGTTTCATAGTCAAAGACCGTTGAGGTACCAATCGCTACAAGAGTCACTAGAAGTGCAACTGCTGCACAGAAGAAGGTAGGCAGCAATACGGCTCCATGCAATCGAGGAAAGAACAAGACACCAAAGGCCAGGCGGAAGAAGGTGCAAATACAATATGAAAGACTTCAACGTGCGAGGGACGATGCTAGTGCCGCTGCTAAAGCGGTTGAAAGCACGTGCTTGGAAGAGAGCGGCACTCCACTGTCACTGCCCGTCATGGTGGACGCTCCAGAAGCGCGCCTTCCTGGCGAGTTGTAATCGGAAAGCACTAACAACAGCTCACCACCTGCTCTTATCACCGTATCACCACTCGCCTCAGCGTCTCACCCACATCTACTCGAAACAACACTTCAACAACAGCTCTTAGAGGGAGACAAGCAGCAGCAGACCAGAGAAGTAAGAATCCTCAAGCAACAGATCACGATGACAAGCAAGAGAGCAAAAGCCAGGAGGCAACGCAAAGCCCGGAGAGCCCGCGAAGAAGCCCTCGTCTTCATCAAGAGCGAGTCCATCGACGGTTTCCAAGACGCGCCGCGCAATTCTGGCTACGATGGCCAAACCAGATCTTCGTCATTTGCTCGCTCCAGCTCTCCCGCACGTCAACTATGGGCTGCACCGAAGCGAGACAGCATCATCGACCTGGTTGCACTATGCACCTATCCCGGCCAAACAATCCATCCAAACTCAGTCAACCGACTCTTCATCCTCCAGCGAGACATCGACGCCGCTATGGATGGCCAGGGTCGTCACATCTGGATTCTGCGAAGACTCCCACGCGACATCACCTTAACGGTGGAACGAAAGGAAGCCATTTGGCTGGCACAAGGGAAGATCAACCGGGTCGTGGATGAACGAGGACGCTCATACAGACGGCTGAAGCTCGACCGCTACGTTCCAGCTGACCGCTGGGTCCCGATTGATCGTTACATTCCCGGCATGCCGTACCCTCTCCCTCTGCGCCCTCACGCCATGCCGCGCATGAGGGTGTTTTCGAGGTCATACGCGTAGTGGCGCAGGCTTGGTTTGCCACTTTCTCTCTGGACGGACTACATCCGAAATGGCTATGAGGCGTCGCGATACAGCAGACACGCATAGGATACTACAGTGCGAGTCTGTGTGCGCTTTCATGGTGGCACATGAGAGTCAGACAGGTTTCACATCTCTTCGGGTCTTATGTGTCGCCATTATAGGGAGGGTCATTAGCTGGCTTGCCACCTCGAGCAGGACAGGTCTTCTTCTTTCGTTCTACTTTGATACCACCACATGGTCACCTACTCCTAGCCTCACGAGCTGACAGTTTTTCCAATCTCAACAAAGCCAAGAATTTAATTCATCCCCTTAAACTTCATGGTTCTCGTTCACATTGGAAATGATCACTGAGCTTAACGATCTGGCATGCTCGACATTGTGAAATTTCAAAATGGATACTCTTGCCAGAGTGTTACGTACACGGAGAGCTGAAAACACATTAGACTTTGGTAAATGTGAACGAGCCGCGCCTGCAGTTTTTCCGGAAGATATCTCCCCTGCATTTCGTGAAGGTATCGTAGTGTCCATGTCTTTCATTCGACAAGGTGCTTTCGTTTGGTACTCATTTGGTATGAGACAGCTGTGAGTGGCTCATGGCTACAGGTGATCGCGAACCATGGTAAGACAATGCTCTGCACACGGGGAGCTTCTATAAAGCTCTACGAATATGCATGTGAAATACAATATCCAAGAAAAAGGTTGGTTGCATCCAACCCCCAGGTGAGAGAGCAGGCAGGTGCAATTTACATGCTTTCCAAACCACTCAGTGAAAGAACCACCAAATGTTCTATTGCCCAAAGTGCACAGAACGCGCCTAACCAAACCGCCTCACCGACGCAACTGCTTCCCCACTCACATGTCGTACATCCGGAACAAACACATCATATCATTATGTCGATCTCGACCGCCACCGCCACCGCCGCCGATGCGATAACCCGCCCGCTCACTGACAGTAAAGCCAGCGCTCTGATATTCGGACCGGAACTTTACCCCTACTACGTCAACTGGCAAGTCGATGTCGACAACCCCGAGCAGCAGGCGCTGTACCCGACGTGGCAAGCATGGAAAAAGACCGTATATGCGGTGCAGCAGGAAGACATCGGCGGTATACCCAGTCCGCCAGTCTTCAAAGCATTCATGAGCACACCGCGCGTCAAAGAACATTTATACGGTCGCGACACAACACTCTCCCACATCTTCACAGACGTCGATGATGAAGAGAAAGACCCCTCAGACCTCCTCACCTCGCGCCTCTGCAAACACGCCATACACCCCGGAAACCCCTGCACATCAACCGAAATATGTCCCCTCTGCCTCATGAAACAATGTCTCGCGTCTCTCGAACGTATCGCACATGTCTGGCGCATGGTCGGTGGACCGTATAGGCCGGGTCGAAACGAAGCGGGGTTGTACATCGTAGATCCTGGAGAACTGATGATATACTTTGCGACCAAGAAGTTGTGGATTGCGGAGAAAGCGAGGTGGGCAAATCTGGTTGGTATTTATGAGCAGTATGCGGTGGGGGAGAGGGCATGGGAGGAGGATTATAGACGAGATGGCTTTGAGGTTCCTGGGGCGGTGGAGGCGGCTAGTAGCTGTATTGAAGCGTTGGAATTGGCGGGACAGAGCCCGTTTGTAGGGGAGGGGTGGAGTGAGGCTTTCGTGCCGGAGAAGTATCCGAAGAAGCGCGGTGTGAGAGACGAATTCAGAGGGAGCTCTGTTAGTGGCGTTGAGCTGCTGTGTTCTCCGCCTGAGAGGCCTGAGATGGAATCGAAGATGTTACGGTACTCTAAGGGGGGTTCAGATGGGACAGAGGAGGCAGACGACAACACCACAGACCACTACCTCAAAGACCATTCGGACTCGCCGCCTGCCGACCGCGCAGCCGCCCGAGCGGACTCTCCAACCACCTCTCACCGAAATACAACCTCCGCCAGTTCAGCCATCTACACATCCTCTCCCCTACCGCCGTCCTCTCCGCCTCGATCTCCGTCCACCCAATTCGTACCTTCCACTCCCATGATCGGCGTATCCTTCCCGGATGACCTCCCCTCTCCCTCCACCCGACGGTCGTGGTGCTTCAATCGCACCTCGCAGTCCTACGAACAAGGCAAACACGCAAGTCCATACGGTAGCATCAAGGTCGATACAAGCTTCGCGAGGAACGCCACATACGACACGTTTAGTGTCGTCGCAGAAGAAGAGCTGGAAACATCGTCGGAGGCTCAAGATGAACCTGTCCAAGCAGCTGGAAAGATTGGGAAGGAGCGTTTTGCCGGTTTCACGGATGTGGATCTAGACTCGGAAGATGATGGGAGGGAGAGTGAGTGGAGTGATGACAATGATGATGGGGATGGAGAAGATAATCTCATGACGATTATGGGTAGGAGAACCGAGGGTGGAAAAAGGCTGCCAGGCCAAACTGCGGAAGTCAAGTTCCGACGACCGGTGTTTACGTTTAGTTGGCCAGGCCGGGGAGAAGTGGACGAAGAGGGCGATACAGTCTCTGACACTAGTTCGGATGAGTTTGATGACGATGAAGTGGAAGAGGCGATGCGAGATATGCAGCCTGAGGCATTGTATCCTCCTACCACTCCATCAGTAAATGCCGATAAGTCTATGGTTGGCGGCAGAGCAGAGAATGTGGATGTGGTATCGCTGGCCGAGCCGGATCTCCAAGTAACTCCTCGTCGCCGAAGTCATGACGAGTTTGTTGAATCCGAGGAGGTGGATGAAGAGGACCACGTCAAGAGATCGCGCCTATAGGAGAGGCTCCTTTGACTGCTGCAAGCGTTGGATACCGGGAAGTCGACTGGAAGACTATTCATATACACGTATTCGGAAGAGCGTCGTTAGAAGTACTAGTCATGATTGAATATTCAAACCTTCGTCGATTGAAGCGTGCAACCTGATTGTAAACTCGTTGCCGAGCTCCCAGTTATTCTCGTAGTATTTGCAGTTCCGGTTGTCATCCATACGCATCATTTCGAACTTACCGTAAAAGATGATGAGCTTTCAATATGGTGCAAGTGCCGAAAGGGTTATGGCGCAACATATGTCCCGCAGAAGATAGCATCTTCCGCCAGCCAAAAGCGACCGAACAGTGGAAGGGTGGATCATGGGCTCCGTATGCCAACTCATGACCGGGCAGGTTGTTTCGATGGTGCTATCGATGTGAGAGGTTACGGGGACTCCCAACGAAGACAGAGAGAGATTCTACAAGGCCACACTACCTAGGTATGTAAGTTGCGAAGTGGATTGTGGGAGCTGAGGAAGCTGTCGTTATCATGATCAATAGATAAGAGACGCCATATAACGATCGAAGAGAGTGTGCCCAGGTGGCATGCTTCGCGCACGGGACAATGGAGGTGTGATGCAAGAGTCGCGCCTGCTCCAAGATGAGGCTCATCGGCGGATGTTTGGACCTAGCGCAAGGCGGTGGCCAAAGCGCCCCAGCTCGGAGTGTGGATCTCTACATCACTGACGAGCCGCAACACGACCAAACAACGCCGCCGCCGCCCCATCCCACGCCTTCCCCTCTCGCATTCAATATCGCATTCCCTGTCCCTACTTCACCTGGGAGATAGCAAATACCCCGACACCCGACAGATAAACCCCACGACCCCGCCACCATGTCTAGCGGAGAAGTGCTCAAGGCCGACAAGGACTTTACCAAGGAGGTCGATGCGGCTATTCCAGAGGCGGAGAAGCTAGCTTCTGTATGTCTGATGGCTATTAAAGTTGGAGCGAAGCTAATATAGTCGATCAGAGCAATCCGCAAGCTGGAATCGACAAGCTGCTCACGCTTGAGAAGCAGACCCGCCAGGTACGCATCCACGTATCCCATGCGCGTGACCATATTCTAACTCCTTCAAGGCTTCAGATCTTGCCTCCACTTCCCGCGTCATAATCGCCATCGTCACAATAGCAAAGAATGCGAAGGACTGGAACTTGATGAACGAGCAGGTCCTGCTCCTCTCCAAGAAGCATGGACAGCTCAAGCAGGCCACCACCAAGATGGTGCAGACAGTCATGGGATTCATGGATGAGACTCCGAACCTAGAGACAAAGCTATCCGTCATCGAGACGCTACGGACAGTCACAGAGGGCAAGGTAGGCAACCCCAACGGACAACATACGTGCTGGTGCTGACATGATGGTAGATCTTCGTCGAGGTCGAGCGTGCCCGAGTAACCCGTATCTTGTCCAACATCAAGAAGGAACAAGGCGACATCGATTCAGCGACGGACATCCTCTGCGAACTGCAAGTCGAGACCTTTGGCTCTATGACCCGTCGTGAGAAGACCGAGTTCATCCTACAACAAGTGGCGTTATGTATACAAAAGGGCGACTGGACACAGGCCGGTATTTTGAGCAGGAAGATCAGCACACGGTACTTTGCGCGGAGACCGAAGAAAACCCCCGAGCAGCTGGAGAAGGACCAGAAGGAGCGGGAAGAAAAGGAGAAGAACCGGAGCGCCGACGACCCGCCCATTGAGCCTGAGGACGATGTAACGGATCTGAAGCTCAAGTACTACGAGCAGCAAATTACCCTGGCCAAGCACGACAACAAGTACCTGGACGTCTGCAAGCACTACCGACAAGTACTGGATACCGAGGCTGTAGAGGAGGACCCCGACAAGCTTCGTGCGGTATGTTCAGAGACTTGTCCATGGTCGCAGCTCTAACTAACATAACTGCAGATCCTCCAGCGCGTCATCTACTTCATCATCCTCGCACCGTACGACAACGAACAGTCCGATCTCATCCACCGCATCCAACGCGACTCGCGCAACTCTCAGATCCCACAAGACGCACAATTAGTCAAGCTCTTCACTGTGCCTGAGTTGATGAGGTGGCCGATGGTTGCGAAGCAGTTCGGGCCTCACCTCACGGAAACTGATGTATTCGATGCGGAGAAGGACGACTCGGATGACCCCAAGGCATTCCAGAGGTGGCAGGATCTCCGCAAGCGTGTCATCGAGCACAACGTTCGCGTCGTGGCCAAGTACTACACACGTATCCAGATCCCACGCCTGACAGAGCTGCTAGATCTGACCGAGGATGAGACGGAGAAAAACATTAGCGAGCTGGTGTCTGCAAAGACCATATACGCGAAGATTGACCGACCCGCCCGCATTGTCACCTTCTCGAAGCCCAGGGACGCAGACGATGTGCTGAACGAATGGAGTGGAAACATGAAGAGTTTGTTGGGTCTGCTCGAGCGCGTTGACCATCTTATCACCAAGGAGGAGATGATGGCGCGTATCCAACCCACAAAGGTGGACAAGAGCAAGGCGGTCAAGGGCAAGGCGAAATAGGATCCGCGAAGACCCTCAGGTATCGGCAATCGATGTACGAAGTTTGGGCAGCAATTGGTCGTCTAATGGCCTTGCAAGGTACAGCACTCACGATGATGATGGATGAGTAGTGGCACGATAGTCTATGAATTAGTGCGTATGCAAGACGACCACGAAGCTCATGTGTTTACCGTTGCGCTGCGTAGGTTTACGTTTAACAAGTCGGACTGCTGGTCTGGGCGCATGAAGGAAGAGTTAGACAACCTAGGCATCTTGCATAGGATAGTAAAATAAATTAAAGCAATTGCTAGAACAAGAGTTTGTCATAAATTATGTGCTCCATATATAACACTTTCGTTCGAGTGCTTTTGTTATAATTGATGGACGACATCTGCGCGTTGTATCATCTGCCAAGCCACTCAAGTGCCGACGCGGACTAGCGCAACGCGTCCGACGCGTCCCTTCCTTCCCCGGGATTTGGCAGCAACCGTTGAAAGTACTAGACTCTCAATACCTCACTTTGTGCATCCCCATACCACCGCAATCATGGTTCGTGGTGTCGAAGGTAACGAGATGTCGACACCTCGCGCTTCACAAAAGAAGCAGCCCGCATCCGCGTCGCAATCGGCCAAGGGCCAAAAGTCCATCCTAGGGTTCTTCCAGAAGAAGTCTACCAACTCACCAAGCCCCGCGCCGTCCGATGCCACACCAGTCAACAAGACGCCCACATCGAAATTGGCGAAGAAGGCCTTCGAAAAGCCGCCTGCCGCAATCACCCCTGTACCAAGCAGCGACGCTCCGGATTACTCGAGCCCTATCAAACAGGAACATGAATTGACGGTAGGGAGGAACAAGGAGAACATACTGGCCCAACATACAGATGCGGTTCCCAGTAGCCCAACACGCAAGGTACGCGAGATATGCCATTGCGTATGCGACCGCACTTACTGACATTCTAATCCAGGCAAGAAAGCCCGTCAACTACGCCGAATCGGACGACGACGACGACGACGACGAAGATGTACTGGGTCCAATTGCAAACAATGCAAGAGGCAGAGCTACGAAACGCCAGCGTGTCACCATCGACGACGATTCAGACGACGAGTTCGGATTAGACGCGGCCACGCAGAAGGCAATGCTCGAGGAAGATGACGATGATGTGGATGACTTCATTGTTCCAGACGATTCCGATGAGGAAGTCGTTTCGAAGAAGCGCAAACGTTCAGCAGCACCCAAAGCTCGTACTAAAACATCCCCGGCATCGTCACCACCTATAATCGAGACGAAGGATGAAGAGGACGTTGGCGATGTCGTAATGAATAGCACGTCTACTGCGCAACAATGGATCTATGATCCCGAGAATCCAATGGTGTTCAAGCCTCGCACAGCCGTGCAAGCCACCAAGAAGGACCCCAGCAAGAAGATTAAAGAACGTCCGAGCGCTTCTGAACCTGAGACGAGATACACATGGCTCGCACACCAGATGGACGCTGATCGGCATCCCGTCGATCATCCCGACTACGACCCCCGCACACTTTATATCCCCCCAGGTGCTTGGGACAAGTTTTCTGCTTTTGAGAAGCAGTATTGGGAGATCAAGAGCAAGTGGTGGGACACTGTCGTCTTCTTTAAAAAGGGCAAGTTTTACGAGCTCTATGAAAAAGATGCTTCGATAGGCCACCAGCTCTTTGATCTCAAATTGACCGATCGGGTCAACATGAGGATGGTAGGAGTACCAGAAGCTTCCTTGGACATGTGGGCTACACAGTTTGTAGCAGCAGGACACAAGGTTGCTAGAGTTGACCAGATGGAGTCGGCTCTGGGCAAGGAGATGCGTGAGCGTGACGACAAGGGCAAAACGCCAAAAAAGGCTGGTAAGGAAAACAAGGTCATCCGAAGAGAGCTAGCTACGGTACTCACTTCGGGTACACTTGTGGATACGGGCATGCTTCAGAGTGAGATGTCGACATACTGCATGGCCATCAAGGAGATCGACCGCGATAACCTGCCAGCCTTTGGAATTGCCTTTGTCGATACTGCTACTGCACAGTTCCAGCTTTGCGAGTTCACAGACGACATTGACATGACCAAGTTTGAAACCCTCATCGCCCAGATGAGGCCCGGTGAACTACTCCTGGAGAAGTCATGCGTTTCTGCGAAAGCTCTGCGGATACTCAAGAACAACACGCCTCCCACAACGATTTGGAACTACCTTAAGCCCAACAAAGAATTTTGGCCAGCGGATATCACCATCCGAGAAATTGAAGCGAACAACTACTTTGAGTCACCCACTGACGATAACATCGAGGCGTGGCCACCGGTCCTCCGCGAAGCCCGAAAGCAGGAGTTGATCATGTCGTCGTTTGGTGCTCTTCTTCAATACTTGCGGACGCTAATGATTGAGCGCGATCTGGTCACACTCGGAAACTTTCAGTGGTACGACCCCATTCGCAAAGCCACGAGTCTGGTTCTCGACGGCCAAAGCTTAATCAACCTGGAGATTTTCGCCAACACCTTCGATGGATCAACCGAGGGTACTCTGTTCGCTATGCTGAACCGCTGCATCACCCCATTCGGTAAACGATTACTGCGGCAATGGGTGTGTCATCCTCTCGCAGACGCAGCCAAGATCAACGCTCGCCTAGATGCCGTTGATGCGCTGAATGCCGATTCTACCATCATGGACAATTTCAGTGCCTCCCTTAGCAAGTTGCCAGATCTCGAGCGTCTCATTTCTCGTGTACACGCGGGCCGATGCAGAGCGCAAGACTTCCTCAAAGTTCTGGAAGGATTCGAGCAGATTGAGTACACCATCAGCTTGTTGAAGCAGTTCAGCGAGGGTGAAGGTATCATCGGTCAACTCATCTCCTCCATGCCCGACCTGGCTGCTTCTCTATCCAAATGGAGTTCAGCTTTCGATCGAGACATCGCACGGAAAGAAGGACTGCTCATTCCTGAGCCTGGCATTGAAGAAGACTTTGACAATAGCCAGGAGGAGATCGATGCCTGCAAAGCAAATCTGGATGTATTGTTGAAGAAGGCTCGGAAAGAGCTCGGCTCTAATGCTGTTCAATACAACGACATTGGCAAGGAGATCTACCAACTGGAGGTACCCAAGAAGGTCAAAGTTCCCAGCAACTGGGATCAAATGTCGGCTACAGCCAAGGTTACTCGCTACTACACTCCTGAACTGAGGAAGCTAGTGCGAGCACTACAAGAAGCGCAAGAGACGCATGGTCAGATCACACGTGAAGTTGCTACTCGCTTCTGTCAGCGCTTCGATGAGGACTACAAAGTCTGGCTGGCAGCGGTCAAGATCATCGCTCAGCTGGATTGCCTGATCAGTCTCGCAAAGGCGTCTGCTTCACTCGGGGAGCCTAGCTGTCGTCCGGTCTTCGAAGAGGGCAATCGAGCTGTCGTTGAACTAGAAGAGCTTCGCCACCCATGCATGCTCAACACAGTCGATGACTTTATTCCCAATGACATCAGGCTAGGCGGCGACTCCGCCAACATCAGTCTACTGACTGGTGCCAACGCAGCCGGTAAATCGACTATCCTTCGTATGACTTGCATAGCGGTCATCCTCGCACAAGTCGGTTGTTACCTCCCTTGCACATCGGCCAGACTCACACCTGTCGACCGCATCATGTCCCGTCTCGGCGCCAACGACAACATCTTCGCTGCCCAATCCACCTTCTTCGTCGAACTCTCCGAGACACAGAAGATCCTTTCGGAAGCTACTCCTCGGTCACTTGTCATCCTCGACGAGCTCGGTCGCGGTACATCCTCTTATGACGGTGTGGCCGTTGCTCAAGCCGTTCTTCACGACATCAGCACACGCGTGGGCTGCATCGGCTTCTTCGCCACCCACTACCGTTCCCTGGCTAAGGAGTTCGAGTTCCATCCTGAAGTCGAGAATAAGCGTATGCGTATTCATGTGGATGATGCATCCAAATCAATTACCTTCCTCTACAAGCTCGAGGAGGGTGTGGCGGAGGGCAGTTTTGGTATGCACTGTGCGGCCATGTGCGGGATCCCTAGCAAAGTCATTGAGAACGCTGAAAAGGCGGCTAGGGAGTGGGAGCACACGAGTAGGCTGGGAGAGAGGATGGAAGTCAACAAGGAAGAGGGTGGTGTGTATGTGCCGCTGGGTCTGCAAAGTGACGTTGCTTGGACTCTCAGGGAGGGCCTGGAGGGAGTCGGTGACCGGGCGCTAGATGTGCTACTCGAAGCCATCTCCGCGCTCTGAGTAGTGGTGTCGTTGAGAAAGGATGTAAGATAGATGTATCGAAGGCGTGATATGGGCGATCGGGAACGGAATATATTCATATGGGAACGGGGGATCGGATCTAGGCCAGGCTAGCGTTTTGCTGTAAACGTATGCCGTAATTTAGCGTATCGCAAGCCAGTTCACACATTACAAACATAGCTTATCATGGAGGTCTCACTACATTCTGCTTGATGCTTCGTATATGTATAGGACATAGATACCTCCAGGGTAGCCTACGACAATGCTGTGAAGTTCAAAGATCGACACCGTATGATGGTAGCCCGGAGGTAGTCAATGTATCTCACGATGTCACATTTCCTCAGTAAACCACGCGAATTCTTCAGGCATATATGAAAACCATTGGAATGACTGCAATCATTACGATGTAGCCGTCCGCCCATCCAATGAATTCGCCATACAAGCCCAAGCTTTTCCCTCGTCCCAGCCGAATACGCACGCGAACGCCACACATCGCCATCCCTCCCTCCCTCCCTCCCTCCCTCCCTGACACTCCGCCCGTCACCCATGTCCTCACCCATCCACACTCTCTTCGCCCACCACCTTCCCATCCCCACCTCCACATAAACCCCAGGACACCTACTCATCCTCCTCCAATTGTACCGCACGGTACCCGTTAGACGCGTTCCTTCCGGTTCCCTTAGCAGCCCCACCACAGGTTGCGATGCCATCGAGGAAATCATAGCTCATGCCCATAGTGCCACGATCGGGGGGGTCTTCTTCGACGAGATCGAAGCTGTCGTCGAAGCCAGGCTCTTCTTTCTTGACTTTGGGTCCGCCTAGGTTGAAGTCGTTGTCATCGTCGTCGTTGGCATCAGAGGCGGAGGGGGAGGAAGTGGTCTTGCGAGCGGCGGCAACCTTTTTGGAGCGCTTGGAGGCAGAGATGGGAGCGGCGGTGGCGCCTCGCTTCTTGGGTGTTGAGGTGGCAGTAGCGGTTCTGGGGCGGCCGCGAGTTGACTTTGCGGCGGGACTGTCCTCGGAGATGCCGGCTGTCTTGTTCTTGAGCTTGCGCTTGATCTTGCCCATGGTGAAGCTCGCGCTCCCGAGGGTGTAACCTGTAAGTGCGGCGAGTTTGTTCATATCGACCTAGGTGGGTTAGTGTTGGAGTTGAGTGGAGGGAGTGAAAGGCATACCTTGGGCTCTTGCTCGAAGCACTGCCATGCCAGAGCGAGCACCTCATTCTCACGAGGAGTTAGGTCGTCTTTGGCCATGTTGTTTTGTGGTTTCGTGTTATTGTGTTTGTGATTGTTCAGGTCCGACTTGGTCTTGCTGTGGTGATGAAAGAGTGGTGGAGTGAAGAAGGAAGAGGACAACGAGAGTGAGAAGATACGAGCCTTATATGCTGAGTCAGAGCAGCCAGCAGGTGGCTTTGAATAGCAGGGAAATTACTTTTCTGTAGCTACTAGTAGCTGTGGTGAGAGTGATAAGAAAAGGTGAAGGAGAGCTAGGAAAGCAGCTTCACCTCGCTTTGAGTAGCCTGGTAGATTGCTGTGTGGCAGCATATGATTCAAGTAAGTTTAGCTTGACGAGTAGACTACGTGTCTAGGCAGTCAGATCTATGAGTGCGAGGCATTTCGCCTGCGTTGGACGTTGGGTGGCATCCTTGGGTTCCTGTAAAGCTTGGCGTGATTCACAGCGTGACGTCTTTAAGCTTGCGTCCAGAAGTCACGTCGGTTTACTGCAGGAGATTGCGCGGATCATCTGGGATATTCTCGAGTCGATTAAGAAGAATAGGGAGTAAGCCATTCTACGACCACGCTATATCCTACGCACTTCTTTACCCAGTAATTCGGGTCTCTCTACGTCCAGCTCATCCCGCAACGCTGCGTATAGCGAATCTCCTAGAATGATGGACAACCCCAGACTCCAGACTAGCGTGATGGCATAGAAGAAGTTGGCGTTTCCCGAGCCTGCGTAAATCCAAAGATGGTAGAAGGCAGGGCCCAAGAACGACGTATATAAGATAGCGGATGAAGCCAAGAACGTGTAGCGCATAACTAGTATACTGTTAGTATTGTTACAAGAGTTTCAAAAAAAGGGTACACTCACGAGGGAACAGATGACGGAACATGGGTACCAAAGAAAGGTAGAGCGCAGCATCCGCTATGCTCGGGTATGGTGTGAAAATGGCGAACACGCCGGTCAAGCTGCAAGCGACGAATAATGGCTGCTTGTGAAGGCGGATGGTAAGGCCTGGCATATACGATGCCGCGTGTAGCCAGAACACACCGAGGAAGAACTCGCGGAAAGAGTCAAACATCTCGATGAAGAAGTACCACCAAAGTCCAACATTCGGCGTGAGGTCAGGTAATAGAAGACGCACGCCGTATGTCGCCGAGAGAAAGTCCCACGAGCCCATCAAGAACGCCGACCCAGTGAGCAAGACGCCTATTGCGCCCGCGATACCAACAGTATGGGTTATGATGAAGGACACGACGTCTGGTGCGGTATTCTTCTTCAAAGTCTTCGCATCGTAGAGGAGAACCATGAGCGGAGGGAAGAGAAGGATCGGGTGCATGGCAAAGTACGATGCGAAAGCTGTGGCTAGTATGAAGGTGAAGCTGGCTCCTTGGGACGCCTTGGCCATGGCCGTGAGGATGAAGAGGTTCGTCAGGGCCGAGGTGGAGCGTGCGACGCAGGTCAGGACTGTGAAGGGATTGAACAGGAAGCTGAGATATGTCAGTATATATCCTACATGGAGGTGTAATAGGCATACCCTGCTGCAATAGCCACGCTGCTCCATCTCAAGTCCTTTCGCGGGGAAGCGAACAGGCGCGTGACTGACGCGAAGCCGCTCTCTGCCACCTGATATAAGGCATTCGCGCTTAATAAATCCACGATGGTAAAGAAGATGTTGGTCGCCAGCGGGGCATGGGCCGGGCTGGGAAAGAGGGAGAAGAGAGGCAGCAGGAGGGGTGCCTGGTGGTACACGCCACCGTCGTAGGGAGAGACATTGTGGGTGTAAAGGAAGACGCCCTCTTGCACTTGTAGGTATCAGTAATACCCTAGACAGATTATCCCAAGTACATACATCTCTTGAAGCTTGTCACTGGTGTTGACACCTCGACACGTCCGGCGAGGAGGTCTGGCAGGGCGGGAAAGACAGTGAAGAGGAGCAAGCGCACGGCTGCGGCGGCTGCAAAGAGCAGCATCTTTTGCTGCTTGTCAATTGCCATGGTCACGGGCAGCTATGCACTCATTGGCTCCATGGCGGTTCTCGACACCTCGGCGCTGGAGTTCTGGCAAGATGCATGTTGGTGGACCCTTGTCGCGCTAACGCCGGATCCATGTCCGCTAGTTGGCCGCATCTCTAACTTTTTTGCGCCCGCCAAAAGTTCGATCGTCTGCACCGACAGAATCGCGATTCAATACATACTCTACAATGGCTGGTCGCTCAAAAAAGAAGGGTATATATCTACGTCAATCATCGAGAGGAATATCTTGCTAATCATTTTATAGGCACCTCCGGTGCGGCCAAGAACTACATCACCCGTACGCGCGCCGTGAAGAAGCTTCAGATCTCGCTCCCCGACTTCAGACGACTATGTATCTTCAAGGGAATCTACCCCCGTGAGCCGCGCAACAAGAAGAAGGTCTCGAGGGGCTCTACCGCCGGCACCACCTTCTACTACACCAAGGATATCCAGTACCTCCTCCACGAGCCGCTGCTGGCCAAGTTCCGCGAGCACAAGTCTGTCGCAAAGAAGATCGGCCGCGCTCTCGGTCGCGGCGAGTCTGGCGATGCATCGCGCCTCGAGAAGAACCTCATGCCCAAGGTCAAGCTCGACCACATCATCAAGGAGCGCTACCCTACCTTTGTCGACGCCCTGCGCGACCTCGACGATGCCCTCTCCATGCTGTTCCTCTTCGCCAATCTCCCCTCGAGCGACCACGTTCCCGCCAAGACCATCGCCCTTTGCCAGCGACTGACCCGCGAGTTCGAGCACTACGTAATCACGTCCCACGCCCTCCGCAAGTCCTTCCTCTCCATCAAGGGTATCTACTACCAGGCGACGATCCAAGGTCAAGACATCCTCTGGCTGGTACCATACAGGTTCGTCCAGCGAACAGGCGGCGATATTGATTTCAGGATCATGGGCACCTTTGTTGAGTTCTACACGACGCTGCTCGGCTTTGTCAACTACCGCCTCTACACTTCGGTCGGCCTAGTATACCCTCCCAAGTTTAACGCAAAGAGCGACGAGCAGGGTGGTGAGCTTGCTGCATTCCAGCTTGAAGGCAGGGCCACTGCTACGAACGACGCAAACGGCCACGATGAGAATGGTGCGATCAACCCCGAGGCACAGGCGATTGCGGACAGGCTTGCAGCTATGCCCGATGCTGAAGAGGAGGAGAGCACCACTGCCGTGTCCAAGGTTGTCACCGAGGACGACGAAGAGGAGGCCAACGACGAGATTGACAAGTTCGAGCCAACTGCCCCCGACGCCGATATTCTGCCCCAGCCTCAAGCAAGCAGCGCCGAAATCGCATCCTTGTTCGCGCCTTTCACCTTCTACCTGGCACGAGAGACACCCAGAGCATCGCTCGAGTTCATACTAAAGGCATTTGGCTGCAAGAGAGTGGGTTGGGACGGAACGTTAGGCGATGGTGCTTTCACAACCAACGAGTCGGACCCGAACATCACACATCAGATCGTCGACCGACCCGCGCTATCCAACGGTGCTCCTGCACAGGAGGACGGTGCTGCTGCTCCCAAGGCCCAATGGCCATACTCTATGATGCCTGGACGCACCTATGTCCAGCCACAGTGGGTTTGGGACAGCATAAACCAGGGCAAGCTGTTGCGACCAGACCACTACGCTCCTGGCGCAGATCTACCTCCCCATCTCAGCCCTTGGGTCAAGCCAAAGAAGGGCGAATACGACCCTAACTTGCCTCTCGCGGCCCAACAACCCGAGGGCGAGGCTGAGGCGTTTGAGGATGATGATGACGAGGAGGCTAATTTCGACGTTGATGGAGACGAAGACATGGACGCCATCGTTGACCGTGAAGGCTCAGTGGAAGTTGGCGAGGGCATGGATGTCGCCGATGACTCTGAAGACGACAGCGATGACGACGAATCAGATGAAGCTGGCGCGGGTGGTGAGGAGTTCGACGGCCTTGACTCCGATGCCGAGTCGGACATCTCAGAAGGAGAGGCTGCCCGTCTTCAGCACCAGCGTGAATTGGAAGCTGAGGCTACTGGCAAGAAGCTCGAGGTCAAGAAGCCGACCAAGAAAGAAGAGAACGCCGTCATCCGCAAGAAGGCAGAGAAGAAGAAGCGCGCTGAAGAGGAGGAGCGCGAGAGGCAAAAGATGATGTTGTCCAACAAGAAGCGCAAGCTGCTCAAGCGTATCGAATATGGCGAAAACAAGCGCGAAAATGAGTCTGAGAACCTGCGCAGAAAGCGTGCGAAGGTTGAGAAGGCCAAGGCTGCTGCTGAAGCCCTATAGGTTTAAGTACATGTATATGACATGCATCAAAAGCTAGGGCTGGCGTTCTTTGGGCAGGAGTTTGGCGCGCTTAACGAACCTCTATATGCTGCATGTAGTAAATCGATACCTTTTCTGGCTCTACATCATGGCCGTAGCTGTTGAACATCTATCCCCAACGAATCGGCTGTGATCGCTGGTTTGGACGCACGGACTGGGGCTGTCAGACGAGTGGCGCAGCCATCTCTGACCCAACGAACATGGTGAACACTCGATGACTCAAACAGAGGATATATGAACCATGGCTGCACTCATGTTGCACTTAAAATATAACATTCAACTGCAAGACCATACGATCAATACACGCCCTATTCAACAGCATGTAGTCACGCCCTTTAATCCGCGAATATTGCACGATGGTAGACCAGGGCCGCCATCCAAACTCGACCATAGTTGGCATCGCAACAACGACAATGCTCTACTTGGACAACATGACATGATTGATTTCTCTTTCCTGCGCGTCATGTCATCTCCCATAAACGTATGTCTACACCACAATAACCCCCTCTTTCGACTCTCCCCACAAAGACGTTGCAAGAGCACGCAACCTCCGCGGATCCCACTCGAACACAAAGAACTAAAGACGAAAAGATGAATCCATAACGCGACCCGCCGTCGTTCTCGATCTGCTCCACGGAAAAAACCTAGATCCACCATCGTCGCCGCTACCTAAAAGCGCAAAGTGCCGAGCCGCTGCCGAATAGCACCACCTTCCGGAAAAATTGTGCATGTCTGATTTTGCTCCCCTGATAACTTTCGGTGGCATAGAAGTTTGAGAAGGTATAGAGACTCTTTGAAGCACTATGGAAGCGAAGCTGACACGGAAAGACCAATCTGGGTCATTGCTTTCACCTGGGGCAACAGGCATCGCTGTCACGTGATTGCGCGTTCACCCCGGCAAAGACGCTTGGTTGCTATTGTGGTATCACGACAATAGGCTCGGCTGTGGTCACCCAGCTGCTGCTTGGAGTTGGTGTTGTCTGTGATTTCAGGAGTTCATCTGCTCCTACTACCCATACCGTTTACTTCTTGGACTCGACACAGCGATCTGAAGTCAGCAACACCACTCATCAGACGTCGCGTTAAACCTCCAGAAACCAACGTATCCAACAACAAGCCACCGGAACCCCCATTCTACAACTGGCCATGGCAACGTCACAACCAACAGCCCTCTTCCCATCCCTCCCCCCAGAGCTCCGCAACGAAATATACACCTATCTCTCCTCTCCAACCCCCACATCCATCCCCACAAACAGCCACCTCCCCCTTGCCCTTAAAACCTTCACCTGCAAACACACCACCACAACTCTCCTCCCCATCCACCACAGCACGCCCGGCCTACTCTCCCTCCACGGCACCCTCATCCCCGAGGCCGCAGAATACGCCTCCTTCCTCCTCTCCAACAGCATAACCCTCTACCTCTCCATCCACTTCCGCGGCCGTGTAAACACCTTCGTGCCCTCGGACTGGGACAAGAAGATCCAAGCCCATTTACGTAAACTGGGTAAATCCTTTCCATGGCTGAGGAAGGTGGCGAGGTATGAGGTGCAGATACTGTGGGAGCCGGTTGATGGGGTGTTGAAGAGCAGGAAGGGCAAGAGGTGTGCGGGAGACGTTTGTTTGGGGTTGGTGGAAGGTGTGACGGGGTTGATAGACGAGGAGGTGAAGAGGAAGAAGGGGTGGTTGAGGATGGGCTTGAATTTGGATCATGGGTTCTCTGTCGCCAATGCTTTTTCAAACACGAAATTCGGACTGAATAAGTTTCTTGGTGAAGAGTTGGGGTTTAGGACGGTGGTGAGGGAGGTTAGGAAGACGAGGTCTTCGCACCACTGGGGGCCTGTGCCTCTTCGTCCAGCTTTTCGTGCGGTGGAGAAGGTGGGCACACCGGAGGAGAAAAGGTTGATTGAAATCGGGAAAGACAGCGTAGGTTGGTCTGAGTGCACGACGGGGCCGCTGGTCATGAGGAGGACTACGGGCACGGTGCTGAAGGGGTCTACGACGGTGTTGGGGAAGGATGAGATGGACTTCCCCATGTGCCATCTCATGGCGGAATGTGTCAAGATATAATGAGGACTACCTACTCAGCCCCCGATCCCAGCAGAGTCCGTTGAGCTTCCCATCTATGGTTTCAGATCAATTCAAGAGGGGGTGGTACGAGCGGCCAAGCAGGCCTGGGAGCTTTCGGCCAAGCAGCTTGATATGATCAAGATGCAAAAGAAGGAGCTAGAGGACAAGTTGGCAGGATACATTGTGAAGGATTCCGCGAATGACTATCCCGCATTTTGTGAGCTACTGATGACTTTATGCTGGCTTATGCAGTAACGACTGGATAAACACGGCCACAAGTCTTCCAAAATCCACTGTCCTGCCATCCAACAGCCCGTCCGTAGGTCAATGTACAATTTGTTCCAACTTCCTTACCTCTGCAGGCATCCAACACATCCTCCTTCATCCATATTACCATCCTCCACCGCCCCATTCGCCACATATCCTCTCCTTACGCCCAAGCTCCCACCAAACTCATCAAAAATGCACCAAGGAACACAAGCAAACAAGCATACACCCTGCGCTTACCCTTGAGTACCTTCCAACTCTCATCGCTCAGAAAGTCCTCTGACATGAGTTCCACGAGTGAGGCAAAGACAAGGAACCCCGCTGAGATGGCGTTCATGATACCGACGACGAGGAGGCCGACTTCAGAGTCGGGAGAGTACAAAGTGTGTGTCGCTATGCCGATTGCCATGCCGCCGGGTGTGCTGGGTGTTGTGTTAGTATGGTAGAATAGACTGAAGGTCGAGGGGTATGAGTAAGACTTACGTGCAACCGTAAGCGAGAGCCATGAGCCAAGGCTGTGCAGCGCGTGGCTTCCATTTGATGTCGGCGATACGTACGCCAAGTGCAAGACCTTCGAAGGTTTCTATCAAAGTCAGTATACAGACACGGCCGGTTTGGAAGGGTGACCTACGATGAAAGACGATGGCGATCAGCAGAACGGTAAAATCGTTGCCGACTGAAACAGCGAGCGACATTCCAATGAAGATGCTGTGGAACAAGATACCCATTTCCAGGAGAAATACCTGCATAATGGCTTTCTTGTGGATTTGCTCTGGGGTGAGCACATGGTCGTGCTCCCCAGTCTCTTGGTCCTCTTCAATAGCATATTCGTCATTCGCTTCTTTGCTACGAGCGCCCGGGGTTTCCGCTTCAAACCCACCCACAGATTCAATGGCATCGAGTCGCTGGCCATCCTCACGGTACCGGGAGAGCGTTCTACTAATGCTCCCGACCCTTCCACGCAAGACGCCCAGATCGCGTACTCGCATGCTGGTATCAGAGTATGTTCTCTGCATTGCTGGTTGCGGTGGAGCAGGCGATTCGTTCTCAGTCTTCGGCTCTTCCTTGCGGCGAGACACAGCCTCCGCGCCCTCGTTACCGCCACAGACATGTTGGGCAGGAGAAAAGATCATTTCGATTAAGGTGACGAAGAAGACGCTAGCTAGCATGATGGCGCCCGGCATAGCCTGATAGTCGGTCGTCCAAAAGCTCGACAGACAGGGGTCGTTCAGCGAACCAAAAGCGGTAGGAAGTAAATGGACGAATGCAGTTGCGACTAAGACACCGGTGCCGAAATGCTTCGCGCCGAAAAGGAAGGCAGGTGGGATGCGCAGCCGTGGGAACTTGAGGACGAGCATTGGGAAGGCACAGCCAGTCCCTGAAACGAAAAGAATGATGAAAAGGCCGGCGACATGGAGACCCAGATCGTAGTTGGGCTGGGCTTTGCCATCTTCGCAGGTGCTCCGCCTGGGAAGACGCTGGATTGTCGGGTCTGCGAATTCGGTGTTAGTGTTGACGCTTTGACACCATTGGGGCTGTTTCATCTCACCTTTTGGTAGGAAAAACTTGGGCGCGGATAGATTGCCAGTAGCGTACGAGATCAGCAACGAAGTGCAGATTACTGATACCAGCCACTTGGCCCAGCTGATGATAGTGTTGGTGAGGCCAGCTTGGTGCTCGCTCACGTGCGCGTTTGTTCGGGTGCAAGGTCCTGCAATATAGTCAGCATCTCAGCCTCCATCGTTGAGTCATCGAGAAGCTGCGACGAACCTTTTGGGGACCCTTTGACACCCTCGCCAGTGTGGCTTAGCTTTCTCTTCTCCATCTCTTGGCCACTGAATTCATCGAGTTCACACCGCCGGAGATTCTGCGTGCCGCTGCGCAGTCGATCTGCTTCCCCCAACTCTCTTGCATTCGCGATGCCGTTCAGATCCTCGCAGGTCGTCAGATCAGCGGCGAAACGTGGGGGATTCTGGTTCCATCCTGGGTTCCAAAGGACGTCGTCATCAGTTCTGGAAGGGCAGTTCATTTTGGGACCTCGGTAGCCAAGGACTCCTTTCCAGTCGTGCAGACGATCGAAGGTGCGTTCTGTGGTAGTGACAGCCGTCTAGACCAGTGGAGCGCGAAGGACGAGGTAATATGTTTGAGGGATGACGTGGAGATCACTGATGATGGAAATAGTCGGGAACATATGACATCCAAAAGAACTAGCAGTGGTCACTATGGTCGGTTAGCGGCTCTTCCGCTCTGTCGTTGCCCAAACAGAAGCCAGCGCCGAGTGCCAAGACGACCAACCCCAGGCCCGCCACGCGACAACGGCCGAACGGGTGCTCCTTCTTTTTGATGGGTCTTGTATACATCAGCCGTCGCTGTTTCAAACTTCACCTTCTGGAGATGATATATAGTTATGCTCCTCTTCATCATATTGTCGATAGGTGCGACTGCTGCGACCGGATGTTCGGCTTGCAATCGACACGTAATGATGCGCGGCCGGTGGAGATTCCGTAGAAGATCGGATCCGATGTTGCCCGAAGTAGAGCAATGAGTACCCAGCCGTGCAGCCGATGCCGTAGCGGAAAATCCTGGGGTAGTCTGGGCCATGTAGTACTCTCAATGCTGACTCCAACATGCAAATCTTCCTCACGTTTGACTAATACATCTGTGTCGGCGCTGCGACTAAGCAGCAGCTTGGAATAGACAGCATCCATATCGTAATCTCTCAATAGGGAATTTTTCTCCAGCCGGCATGTGAGCACGCGACCCGCGATCAGCCTACAGCCACACGCATTAAGGTCGCAGTAGGTAGTCCAATTAAGGTGTGTTGTATAATGCACAACATTGTTTCCGAACGATTCTTAGCGCATGTTGAAGCGCCTTTTCATCTCTTGTTTCTATGGGTATCTCTCTTCACTGCGCCTTCGTTGTCTCCAATACTTCCAGCGCACCGCCAACTAGGTGCAAGCTTCCAGTCACCAGCACCATGACCTCTGCGTCAGCACCTGCATCTTTGGCATAGTCTCGCGCCACCTTTCGTGCAGTCCCAACTGCCTCTTCGATTGTGCGCAATACATGCACTTCTGCAGTGCTGTCTATCTCAGACCACGTGTTCGCGAGCGCCTTCTGGACTGCCAGCGTGTCTACGTCCTGTTGATTGGTGTTTATTGAAACAAGGTCAGGCTTGTATCCCTCGCTGAAGGTTTGGTTGGTGGTGAAGATTACATGAGTGAAAGGAGACTGGGATCCGGAAGTGATACCGCTCTGCAGGGCTGTATACAAGGCTTTGGCAAGCGCATTCGCGTCCCGGGTCTGTTGGTTGAAGATCAAGATTCGAGGGACCTTGGCATGGGAAGTGGACGTGGAAGTCGCCATTGTTATCTGCTCCGCGAACCATTTACCAGTCACCTCTATGCTTTCCATAGTGTGGGCTCCGTCGATATGCCATGCGACGTTGGTCTCGCGTCTGATCTCGCATCTGCCAGCCCATCGCACTTGCTCCAGTCCGCGAACGAACTCGGGGGGGAGCTCAATATGCGATACAATGGTTGGATCGGGTACAGAAGTGTGCCCAAGTGCTCGCAGATGCGCAGCTGCGGCAGCTATCGCCACGGACGCGTTGATCTTCTGGAAGGCTGCACCTAGCCCAAGTTTGATCTCGTTATTCACCAAAGCTGGATGCACATCGATAGTGTGTAGTTTCGTGCCCTTCGCGTCTGCCCGTTCTTCCAAGACTGCCATAGCTTCCTCCTTTTGGCGAACTGTAAATGCAATACTGCCTTCCTTAAAGATGCCGGCTTTGTGCCAGGCTATTTCTGGAAGCGTAGAACCAAGCATCGCTGTATGATCTATTCCTAGAGTTGTGACGGCTGTGACGGTGGGTTTCGTGAGGATGTTCGTGCTGTCGAACTCGCCGCCGATTCCACATTCGATGACAGCCGAGTCCACACCCTCCTTCAGGTATGCGTGTAGCGCCATGAGCGTCAAATAGCGGAAGTATACTGGCTTTGTAGGGACTTCTGCTGGCGCATCCTCCGCCTTTGCCGCTGCTTCCAGCTTGTCCCACACCTCGAAGAAGTATTTCGCAAACTTCTCCTCTGATATTGGCTCATTGTCGATCTGTATGCGCTCGCGTACGAATCGTAGATGTGGGGAGGTATAAAGACCAATTTTCGAGGGCGGGGTCTGCGCGTCGCCGGGGGTGGTGTATTGTGACAGGATGGACGAGATGAAAGCGCTTGTAGAGCCTTTGCCTTTGGTCCCGGCGATGTGTATAGGCTTCAACCGGTCGAACTCTGAGGGCTGAATGCTTCGTCAGTCGCGGTCTCCGGGTGGGGTCATTGGGAGCCGCACACCTCATATCCAGCTTTGCGACACCATTCGATCATCTCAGGTATCGCTTGCTGATTCATACCCCGACCAGACTTGCGAATCGCATCCACTATGGAGAAATTGGACTGAAGCGTGTTCAGCGCCGCAACCGCAGCCTGTGACTATCAGCTCAACCCATATGCGCAGTGCTGCTAACCTACCGCATAGTCGCGCTTCTCCATTTTGGCAGCTCTGTGATAAAGACGAGCGATTGGTATGCCGCGCAAGAAGCACGTGCGTGTCCGGGCTATGAACATGAGGGCATCGCAGTTGATGCTTGAGAGGTCGTCTGCCACTTTTGTTCGTGAGAATACCGCCGATAGCCGATGACGCATCAGCTCGGACCCTCGTTCTGATATACCTCAAATGGGCCTGCGATCCCCTGCATACCTCTCTACATCTTCCTCCACTAATCAATTCGTCGAGGTCATCAGCCAACACTAACGTCGAGTCTCCACTCAAAGACCACTTCGGATGTCTAATGTTTGTACCCGTCACTGGCACTAGATCACAATTTCCTCGTGCTGCACGCCATATACATCTTTACGCGTTGTAGTGTTACATTATGAGCACCGGATAAAACTCTGCGTCCTTGTTATGTCCTACTGCTCAGAGTTACTGCCTTCATCTCTAGAGTTCAGCTGCGTCCTGGTTCAAAACAGGTAAACACATTAAAACGCGTCTTGGGAGGCGTGATAGTACTGTTGACATTGGAGTACGGGGTAGCGTGTAATAATTGGCCTATTGTTAATTCAGGAAACGAGCTTATTGTTCATCCCAAAGTTACTTCTGAGCACGCTCCACTGGATGCGATGTGATTGTCCGGTTGAAACACAATACCAGGGTCTAGCAAGAGCGACCTTGGCGCCGGAAGCAGTCTAGCGCACGTGGTCGTAGCTCTCTCACTCGATCCATCCGTGGATCCTTGGCGACAACCAATCCATTGTTTCGACCACAGTCAGCGCCTTTTATCAAACACTGTGCTTCTTCTTTCTCCTTCTCCTTCCCCCATTATCGAACAGCACGGGAAACCACATTGATTCACTTCGCCACTCTCGTTGCGCATCTGAAAACGTCCGCAGCTTCCCAGATTACGCGCCCCTGTCCGTGTCGCGTCACGCTCACCAACGTCGCTCACCTTCCTCATCACAACCACACGCGCAGCCATGTCGGACTATTCTAAGATGAAGAATGACGAGTTGTCGGCGCTTCTCAAGGAGCGCAAGCTACCTCACACCGGCAAGAAGGCAGAGATGGTCGAGCGCCTGCAAAAAGACGACGAGAAGTCTGGCGAGAAGCCTGCCGCTGGCGCTGAAGACGAGATTGACTGGGATGACGAAGCTGATGATGCCGCTGCTGTACCGGCTGCTGCCACTTCAGCGACAGAAGAGACTGTCATTCCTAACGCAGAGATTGTCGCAAACGCTGGAGGCGAAGGCCAGCCACCGAACCCGCAAGCCGTACCTAACCAAGTCGCCGATATCGACCCTGCGCAAACCGACGACCTTACCATCGACCCGCCCGCGGAAGGCGCCACTGAAGCCAGCACAGAGCCCAAGCCAGAAGAGAAGAAGGAGCCCACTCCTGATTACACACAGGGTCTTGCTGCCACCAACCTCGACGAAGAGATCGAGAAGCGCAAGAAGCGCGCGCTGAAGTTTGGTACCAAGTTCGAGGACGACGAAGGTCTCAAGAAGCTGGAGCGCGCCAAGAAGTTCGGAGAGGTCGGTCCCCCGAAGGGTCTCGATGAAGCTCTCCCAGAGCGCCGCGAGAAGCGCCAACGAGAGGCCGGTGGTGACGAAGCTGGTAGCAACAAGCGTCGTGAGGGGCGCCGTGACGGAGGACGCGAGGGAGGTCGTACTGGAGGTCGTGGAGGACGCAGAGATAACCGCCCTCGTAGCAGGGACAACCGCCCACGCGAGAACAGGACTGGTGGTGGTCCCGGCGGCTCTTGGATGAGCGAGAAGGACAGGGCCGCCGCCGAGGCCAGGAAAGCCAAGTTCGCAAAGCCAACGGCTTGAGCTTAAAGACATTTTTTCGATTGTTTTCTGGATTTGACTCACGAGCGGCCGACGAGCGATTCGAAGACGGAGCTTCGATACGGCGCCTAGACTCGGACTCGGTGGAAGAGCTTGGACAGCACCGGCGCACTCCTTGTATAACATATTTTGCGGGCTACATTCTACCAAATTGCCGGACCATCTGCGATTGTCGCTTCTTCAGACACATTGCGGATACATCAATTCAAAGCTCATTAATCTTCACCGACGCCTCATCGTCTCTTCGCGATTCACTCTTTGCATATACAGCTTCTTGGGTTTACATGGCGAGCCATTGGCATATCTGTTCGCTGCCAAAATCATGAAGCCACAATCAGACTTTGCCTCGGGGCGCAGCCGCTGCCTCCCAGCAGCGCAGCTGGGTCAGCGGTCGATGAAATACCGAAGCCAGGAATGGTTTACCACATACGACGGGTGTATTGAGCTGCCTCGACCACCCTCTTGATCGCAAAATCAATGTTCGCAATATGCCAGACTTGAACGCTTGCATTCCGCGTTCGCTGACAGCCAAAAACGCATCTGATGTGATCAGTCCACCAGGTTTCACGTATCCAGTGAGCACATATTGCAGTCCCATACGAACTGTATCTATAGATCAAGTGATTGTCAAGCAACCAACCGTTGCTACAAGCTTCGGTTCCAAACACACCGACATTGTGGTCCTCTTTTGTGATGCTAGTGCCGCTCAACGCCACGAAACTTGCTGCATATTCCCGACCTCGGCAGAGAACTATTATCCCCGCATACCAACTAACACCGCCAAAGGGGGGAAAAGAACGCTTAGCAATCGTCACCGTTAAATGGCCTGCAGGCACTAAGTACTTTTGTGGGGATATTTAGACGGTGGGAGTCCCCGCGCGTAAATTCCGCGTTCCGATATGCATATGTTGTTTTGCCTCCTCGACTTCCATTGATGTGTTGCTTGGTTCTTTCGCCATCGGAGAAGACAATCGGACCGCAGACTACTCTACCTACTTGATCTGGAACTTTGGATGTGCTGCATGACTCGGAATCCAGAGACCGGAATCGGACAAAGAGTCGGAACAATCGTACGATCGGCATCAGTCTACACATGGGAAAAAAGTTGGGTGACCAAATATTGTGCATCGGCGTAGCTAGTCGGAGTCATATAAGGTCGCACGGCAGGGTCGAAAAGCAAGAAGGCTAGACGACGCAGTTTTTCACGCGATGTCGCACTCAGATGTTGAAGAGAAACATGTCGTCAGAGACAAGGCAATCTCTCAAGAAGATATGAGTCGCCCCTCGTCCTCAATTCACAATGGCATTCATCAACAAGACAAAACGGCAAGCGACCACGAGGCAGGAGACAAAGAAGCGAAAATAGATGCGAGATCAACATTGACTGCCGAGTCCGCTATTCCTCCACCTCCAGATGGTGGACTCCATGCCTGGTTGAAGGTATTTGGAGGATTCATGATATACATCAATATTTGGTACGTTGGCTTTCGCACAGACAGTATTCTACCTCAAGCCATCATCTCCATATCTCACATGATGTAAACTAACACTACTACTCACCCAGGGGCTTCACCCTAACCTACGGCGCTTTCCAAACCTATTACCGTACCACTCTCCTCACCTCGTCCACCCCCAGCGCAATATCATGGATCGGAACCGTACAAGCCTGGCTGCTCATTGTCATCGGCGTGCTATCCGGGCCCCTCTTCGATCTTGGCTATTTCCGCAGCATGTTGCTCGTTGGAAACTTTCTGGTCGTGCTGGGCATCATGATGCTCAGTCTGAGTACGCAGTACTGGCAGGTGTTTCTCAGCCAAGGCGTTTGTATGGGTCTGGGAGCTGGGCTGTTATACATACCTAGTCTGGCCATGGTGGGGGTGTGGTTCAGTAAGAAGAGGGCGTTGGCTATGGGTATTGTTATGAGTGGGATTGCTGTTGGTATGTCTTCCCCAGCACTGTTTTCTTTCTCCCGGGAGGGAACACGACTGACAATACAATTCCAGGAGGCGTAATCTACATAATCATGTTCGACCGCCTTACCAGAAGCGCTGGGTTCCCCTGGGCTATCCGCGCGATAGGTTTCGTCGCTTTAGCTGCTGCTCTCCTTTCCATTCCCGCTCTGCTCTCTGGCTCCGCGTGGTTGAAGCACAAGCGTAAGCGTCGTGCGCTGTTCGATAAGTCCGCGCTGCATGACCGCCTCTTCCTTATCTTCACTGCGTGCTCTTTTAGCACGTTCCTCGGCTACATCGTACCTTACTTCTATATCCCGACATATGCGCGCGAGCGACTGGGCAGTTCGGAGAGTACAGCGCTATATATGCTCGTATTGAGTATAGCTGGCAGTTTCTTCGGGAGGTTGGTCAGTGGCGTCGCGGCGCATTGGTTTGGGGCTATTGTTACGTGGGGGCTTTGTGCGTTTGCGAGTGGATTATTGGCGCTGGTTTGGATCAGCATAGAGACTGAAAAGACGTTTATCGCTTTCAGTATACTCTGGGGTACGTCGCTACTGATACCCCACATGCTACATTGGACTAACGATAGACTTGTAGGTTTCTTCTCTGCCGCTTTGGTCACCGTGCCATCTGCGGCTTTTGCAAACATCACACCGGATCTCTCGCGGTTGGGGACGAGGCTAGGCATGAGTTGGAGTGTGTCTAGTATTGCTACGCTTATTGGTGCGCCGATTGCCGGGGCTTTGCTAAAGAAGACGGATGGGCGCACCAACTTCATTGGGGTGCAGGTTTGGAGTGGCGCTTGTTTGATGGTTGGGACGGGTTGGTTGGTTGTGCTCTGGACTGTCACTGTGAAAACGCAGAAGAAGGGTTGGAGAGTCTAACGCAGGAACGAGATAGAATTACGAGTCACAACTTCCCATTTGAAGTTCCAAACTTCAAATTTGCTAACGGGTACTATAATACTGGTTCGCTCGAAGCCCGAGACCATCGGCTAAATCGTTCGTGACCTTATGTTAGCGAGGGTCTGGCACATTTGGCTTTTCGAAGGTGAAAGCTATACAACGCCGCAAATATGGGGACGTGTTAACGAACAATGCGTTCGCTCAACAAGCCGTAGCGAAGGGAAGCGGTGGCTTGCTTCTCGAATTGTGAACGGGTGGGTTTTGGTACCGGTACGATACCGATGACGGCCCGCAATCGGCCCTATATCCTGGCTCGTATCAATGGCGGAGTGAACGTCAGCGATGTCGATGCTTGAAGGTTTGCTGGTGCTATCATGAAGGTAGAACGCTGATGTCTCCCGATCACGCTTGCATTTGCAACAAGTCCTCACGTTCAGTAGGGCTTACTAAAAGCAAAAAGCATATGCGAAAGTGAAGCGTTCAGATCGTGTTCGACGGGGGGCCTACTTCCTCCCACAAAAGCCTCTCGATCGCATCTCCACATTTACAGCCCCTGGGTCTTAGCCTCTTGGAGTACGACAGCCGGTAGCAGAGCATGATGTTCTCATTCATCATCGCTTTGGATCTAGACGATGTCGCTTAGCCATCTTAACGCTCGTGTTCTGCCGTACAACAAGACGCGTGGGTGGCGCGACGCCGTGAAACCCAAGATCATGCACCCCTGCTGCTCATTATCCATGTAGCGTGATATCACACCGTTATAGCCTCGGTGCGGAACGGGTCGCCGACCACGATCCCCGCGGTGCGTCTTGCGTTAGTCTTCGTTTCGAGATCTTTTGGTTCTTCTTCCTCCAGCCCAGCCGGTGTGAGCTAGCGAGTATCCTTGTTTCGCGTGGGGTTGTTGACGTCTCGTTACCCTTCTATAGCTGTACCACGAACCTAGCGACCGCATCATCGTGTATATCACGGGAATATGACCTACATGAATGCATGTAATACATACATGATCATACGACATTTCTCTAGGCAATACCGTCGACCTGACCTAGGTACAGCTACGAGGCTGAGCGTGCATCGCCGAGAAATTTCGGCATCGATCATGTCCACAGGTATCATTTTAGAAAAGAAGGTAAAAGCGGCAGTGCTATGGGTGCTGGGTCTTTATCAGTTCTTCCAGAATGCCCATAGCGCACATTGTGAGCCGAAGAAGTCCGCCCCGTCAGGGCTCGTAACGAAGACGATCTAACGTTCAGCCTGCTTGATGACAGATCAGATTAGAGGACCCGGAGATCCGGAGACCCGGAGACTCGGAGACCTGGCCGACATTACTCAGATGTCAGCCTTCGATACACGAGATCACTGCGGGCGTTCGCTCTGAGAAGAGTGGTTTCACATATGATTTGCCCTACACAACTCTTTTGAAGTCCAACTACACCATTTGTACAACAAATTGATGAATCTGGTGGAAAATTATGATAGTATCATTTTGCTTATTTGCGGCTGGTATAGCCCTAGTCAACACTTGAGCTTGGTCCAGTTGCCATTTGAGGTAATATGTACGATGATGTTGAGATCTGAAACCGAACACTCCAACGCCCCTGTCACCCTGCGCCGTGGGGCTCAAGGCCGTCTTGGTACACTGAAGATGAGGCAAGACAGTCGATAATGGATACTGCTCCGCTGCCTTTCTGACTACAATTAGCCGTTACCTATAACAAACCCGAACAGTTGGATATTCCACAACAACGCCCTCGCGTACAAAACTTTTGTGACAGCATGATTTCACTACGCCACACGGCAATTCGCCGCGTCAAAAGGTGCCAATGTATAGTTCTCTAAAGATACTATCTTCGTCGCAAATCGAACTCATGTTCAGCCCATAACTATCAGTGCTATGATATATTAGAAATTGATTTGTCATATCGACATCATCAACGTACTCTGTACGACCCGTTCACTACCATGGGTTCGGTTCGTCCAACCACTGTGGTATCGGTATCCATGCGCACGTGCAGCACCATGCCCATGTGCTCGCGCCCATTTAGCGTGTTTGCCGCGTGTTGCGCCAACTCTTTCGACGCAAACTTGGCGGTTGCCACGCCTTTGAACACGCCGGTCCGGCTATCTCTCATGAGTTGGATTTCGATGGCGTATCCAACAGTTTGCAACAGCAGCGCATTGAGATCGTCGGACGTGCATTTGTAGCTGAGGTTACGAATGAAAATGCCGCGTGCTTCAGTCAGGACTGCTCCACCTCGAACATTGACTGGCATCCCGTTCGTGCTAGTCGAGTATACCGGCGGTTGCAGTAACGCATAAGCTGGGTATACTGGGGCATGGGTATATGCGACTTGCTGTGGGGGATAGGTTTGCATCTGCGGGTACATTGCGTACGGGTACCTGGACTGTGTCGTCATGTATGGCCCAGAGGCTGCTGTTGTGCTCGCGCGCCCGCCGCCAAGTTGGTTTACTCTTCCGATGTCGATGCCACAACGCCCAGTGGAGTGACTTCCTTCGGGAACTTCAGGGAACAATGTGGAGCAATTGCATCGCATTAATCGATAGCCGTCACCCTTGCGACTCGTTTCCCACACATGTACGAGCATGCCCTTTGAACGGTAGTAGACTTCTACAGATGGAGTTAACGTCGTGACACCCAGTATTTGCAACTTCGGTACGCACTGTATACGGCATCCGCATCCTCCCTGTTCTTGAGACGGCACCACCCCTGCATCTCCCCTCGTCGTTGACCCTGGCTGGAGTATACATCAGCCCATCCCGGCTGCTCTTTGACTACTTTGCGAAGATGATCCTTGAATTCTTGCCATCCAGTAAGGTAGGGAGCATAACGTGTTGTTCCAGAGACGACAAGAAGGAAGTCTTCATCTCCATATTGCTGAGAACCTGTGTAAGACATTGTCGGAATATGTGAGTGGCGAATGTTGCTGGAGATGTCTACCTCGAACGATAAATCAATATGTAACTGAACTAGAATGTGATTGATCAGAACGCATTCGATATGGAATCGAAGCCGAGAGGTGGGATGAGAACGATCGGAGAACTTCACATTTAGATCGCGTAGGACGAGATCCGTTCTTCTCCTTTTAAACCACCAGTAGCCATAATATCCCGTTCCGGCATCGTAATAGTAGGGATCGGTCATCCTTGTGCTAGTCGGCGGACTACCTATAGGAAGGCTCCCCGTCCCGGTTTGCAGTCAGATCTGGAGCAAGAGATTAATCCTTGCCATTCAAGCCATGGCGTTGATGCGGCGCCTAGTCATGTTTACATGAGATCCAAGCTAACAAGATCGATCCTTAAAAGGCAAGGATAATGGCACAGCCATTCCGTTAACAGGGCTAGGTGCCGCATGAAAGCCGCCACCGGCTTGCTAATGGCGTCATCAACTTCATCTTGGAACACAAAACCGTACCTATTGCATTTCCTGGTTACGCCGCTACAAAATTCGTGAGGACGTTGCTGAAAAATCGCATCGACGTGGGGTGTCGCGTACTGCTTTGGCCGATCAAAAAACAATTATGACCATACTTCATTTAGTAAATGAGAAATGTTAAAAACTCCGTAATCTTGCCAGTACGTCTGCTATCGATCATGATCGGTCTTCGCATGCATGTAATGATAAAGGCGTTGCGGCACGCCTCGGACGCTGCCGCAGCTATGGCTGCTTGCATATCAGACAGCCGTTGCTGGATGAAGTATAGTAGATGAACGTGTTAAGTGATATCACCTAGGATCAAATTCCCTTGGCGCACGACTGCTGCATCGTTTAGGGGCAATAAAGCGTCAACTGTGGGTCAAATCTAGTCGGGTCAGCAACATCCTTCTTAATGAAGCATTGGCAACGGGACAAGCTGCGCGTTGTTCTCCCTAGTCTAGCGAGCCATGAAGTACGTATTCCAATGCTCGTGAGCATGCTATATGCCCTCGATCAAGATGACATTGCATGTAGAGAACTCAAGACAAACTCCACACGATAAGCTTCTGATCGAACCCACCACTTATCAAGAACTCAGCCTTTTCTTTGCCGTCTGAAGTATAAGACTTAGGTCCTGTCATCTGGCCTGCCCAGAGACATCGTAGCTTCGATCCAGGCTCATGTGCCTCCAATGATGAGATCAACTTTCCACTCTTGATTTCAATGCCGCGAACCACACCATCATCAGAGCTTACGTATACACCAGAGCCATCAGGTCGCCAGACGAGACGCGGTGTGGAGTAAGCGGTTTGTGGCGCTAGAGTGGAAACGTTGACTAATATAGCCGCTTCCTCTTTGTCTGCAACGAGCAGCTCAGCCCTGGCTTGCGACGCTTGTGTGACGGGTCCACCCGAGTCTAGACTAGTATCTGTATCCGACACTGAGGAACGGGTAGGAGGAAGCAAAAGCTTCGCGACCAGTAGCTTCATATGCGGCGTGCTGGAGGTCGCGATTGCAACAAGATATGGATTTGTAGGGCAGATCTGTATATCGGATGGCGTGAATGCAACCCAGGCATTGGAATGTGGAGCAAGATTCTGCTTGCCGATCAGAGTGAACGTTGGTGACTCCGGGCTAGGTACAGCGTAGAAGTGCAGAAAAGTCGAGTCTCTTCGGGCGACTACCAGGACTGGCGTTCCGTCTCCAGGCAAGGTGACGAATGATGTCGATTCTGGAATGCTTGGTAACGACAAGGTTGCTATTGGGTCCCCTAGTCGCGGCTGATCGACATTGGGATCGAGCTGGTATAAAACTACTTTGGCATCCCATCCTGCAGTGGCAACTAGCATGGGGCTACCTTCTGAAGACCAGGTAGATATTTTGACAAGATACTTGGAGTGGTCTTTGCGTTCTTCCAGTCTGACGTCGGTGGCCGCATCGAACAGCGTCAGCTTGCCAGACATTGAGGCAATGAGCAGTCGTCTGGAGTCTACCGGAACAATGTCTAAAGTTGGAGAATCCTGGAAGCTGGAAATCGTCTTGATGCAGTCAAGCGACGATGTGCTCGGATCCATTAGGTGTAATTGACGGTCAGCCGTGGTGGCGGCAACATACTGTTGTATTGCTGGCGTTGATGGTAGTAAAAGGTCGAGAACGGAAACGCTGAGTATGTTGGACCGACTTGGTAACGACTCTACAACTTTCGGCTTCACAGGCGCCTGCACGGTCCATGCTTGCTTTGCATCGTCGACACCAAGCTTCTCAAAGTTGAGGCTCAGATCGAAAGTCTTCTTTTCCTGCAGGATAGACTCGATGGTAATCGGATTATCAGCAGCTGAGCCGGTATCCGAAGGCAAGTCGGCTTCCTGAACGAAGCTGTTCAAAGTCTAGATTGGTGTTAGCACCTTCACGTAACCTGGGTAGGGATGACGTAACCTGAGTGTACCCATTCGCTCTCAGATACCGCGCGACAAGTTCTGCCGCAGATGGAAGCATATCGTCAGATCTTTTGTTCACCTGTGGCTCGTTTCAAGTGATCGCGCTCGATGGCTAAGCTGATATGTCACACGTCGACAATGTGGCGTCCGAAGGGGTGATGGTGAAGGCCAAGCTAGCCTTATCGATAGTGCAGCCGCTAATCCCGCCCCCACACGATCTCGCAGAAGTTTCTGAAATCACGACGCGTATTAGAGACACATCAGAAAGCACTAACCAACTTGACGAGAGATATGGAGGCAAGTGCTAAAGCATGTATGTTCATCATGAGTCTGACTTTTGTAGAAAATTAATGGCATTCGTGAGACGCTAACAAAGGAGGTTGTTTCGTCCCAGGAGGCTACACTCGAAGAGCCGTACAGTATATCAAGCCGTCTACGGCTAGCAAAAGCGTATAAAGCACTTGGCTACCCAGATCTCGCTGCGGGCGATGCTTATAAAGCCTTGATCTTAGTGGATGAAGTACTCGATGAAGGCGAATATCACGACGAAGCCTTGGAGGCAGCACGAACAGACGTTATCTCTGAACGGATGACAGGATTGGAGTTGGAAGATCAGGAAAAGACGTCCTCTTTAGAAGATGATGACATTCTGACATGGGCGCAAACGCGCTGGTCTAAGAGCGCGTACGTAAACAGTCCTGGGTTTGATGTACTTTCGCGCGAAAAGCTAACTTATACAGTCATGATATACTCATCAGTTCCTTGTTGGACTGTGGATGTCTGCGTAGTGGATCTGACTATATATCTCGCGCAAGGAAAGCTTTCCCGGAAGACTCGATCTTCGAAGACTACGAAAAATCTTTATGGAACCATTTGCGGACTCATTTTGAGCGTCAAGGGGAATCTGCTGAGAACGTCGATGTAGAAGACTACCCTGATAAGGGCTTTGTCCGCCGCGAACAATATCCTTGGAACCATCATGAGCCTGATCGCTTCTCCACAGAGTGCCTCGACTTCCTTAATGAGGAGCTTGCGGATATAGCACCAAGATTAGAGGTCAGAGTCTCTGAGTTGCCCATTCTCAGTACTACTTCGACAACTAACGGAACGAAACCGGAAACGAACTATACGAAGCAATTGGGCTTATTTGCCAAAGACGACATAATACCGGGCGAGACCATCCTAGAGGAAAAGTCGTTACTTACCGCTATATCAAGACTTCATGAGTCGTATTGCGATGCGTGTGTTATCCCACTTTCATCTTCTGGAAATGGAAACGACACTGTGATATCCTGCGAAGAATGTGAAGAGGTATTCTTCTGCAGCGAGGAATGTCACGATCTAGCTCAAGACCAATATCATCCAGCGCTATGCGGTGTCAGCGTAGACCAGGGCAAGGTACCCGCACGTGAAGCGGCAGACTACCTATATACCCTCCTACTTGTCCGTGCACTAGCGTTAGCGGAGACCCTGGATCTCCATCCTCTAGAGTTGAAAGAAGTGCGGTATATCTGGGGGGACTATCATGGCAAAGATCTCGAGACTGTGTGGCAAGCGGATGCTTCGGGTCGCCTGAGCGATGCTTTTGCACACGTACCGCAAACGCTTCCCTTCTCGTTCAAGAGCAACATACTCATGCCGTTGCATGTTCTAGAAAAGATGGACATCAACATCTTCACCCAAAGTCATCGCTATGACACCTGGGTCTTCAACACTCTGTATGCAAAGTTCCGCGGAACAGCGTCTGCACAGCAGGGGCTCGATGGAAGGCCTGAAATTAGCGCTGTTCATCCGATGTGGTGCCTCGCAAATCACAGCTGTGATCCTAACGTAGCCTGGGAATGGCGTGGCTCGATGCGCTTTTGGACGCGTGAGAACCTGGTTGATTGGAAGGGTAGAGACCCGAGCAAGGAGCCTGGTCTCAAGAGAGATGAAGAGGTATTTGGCCACTACTGCGACGTACGTCTGCCGGTGAAGGAAAGGCGGGAGTGGGCCTCTGGAGCACTTGGCGGCGATTGTATGTGCGCTAGATGCGTCTTGGAAGAGGCGGAAGAACGGAAGCACAGTGCTCCGCAGTAAAAACCTTGCAACCACCATGCAGTGTCGAAAGCGGTGGATACTTGTAATACTGCACGGTCGACATATAAAACCGGCGGATTTGCAGTACAGTATATTTGCAGAACAACCAGGTGGGCCTTTATCGCAAGCCAAACGCCAGGCAAACGAGCGCAGGATCGGTACAACACAGACTTGTAGGTTGTGGAGATCTGGCACAACGCTCGTATACGGAAACGGCATCAACTCGAAATATCGGCAATCGCGCCATGTGTGAACCATCTACCGGCCAATCCCAGTACCCGTGGGGGCCGCTGCACCAAGCACATCCGGCAGGACACATCATGTAGCGTCAAGAATCAGGCCATGTCCCAACGCCGCGGTGACACCATCACATCACCTCGTGGAAGAACTCCACCGTTTACGAGTTCCCATAGTCGCAATGCGCTTGTCTCCCCCCTTGGTTCTTGCGAGCCAATCATGGCCAACGTCATGTCCCTTGACGGCATGACGGCATTACGGGATATTCCAGAGTAACGCCATACCTGGGCATTCAGCCGAAGTTTTTGTGTAGCATTGTTTCGGTAGTCTTCCTTGTCCTCCATTACTCGATTGCATACATACACCACCTGATTGGTATGCTCCCTGTTCTGGCCTCACTTTTTCAGCGTCT